ATGAACTTAAATGATTTTAGCATATGGCTGCAATATAACAAAGAGTGAAAAATTTAAGGGGGGCTGAATACTTTCCGTACCCACTGTATAAGGATGGAGCTAATAGCTTAGCACAAAGACCAGGTGCAATGACATCCATTAAAAACAAGATACATATTAATAAGAGAACTTTTGAGCTGATGGTAGGTGGATTCTGTTACCTTTGTGGAGACCCAGGCTAGCTGTTTCAACTTCAAAAACTCTATTGTCCCTAAGGGGAGTGACTGTTGCAACAGTAGTGCAAAACAGGAAACCCCAACAAGACAAAATCAAACCCTGTTTCCGGTCTTTGTGGCAGATTAAGCTAACTGGCTGCTGGCTCCAGTTTAAATTTTATTGTTACTTTTTATACAGATATGAAGATGTATTTTTCATATCTAACTCTTGGCAAGAGAACAAATAAGCCTATTTCCCAGAACGCTGAACTATTCGACAATTACAAACTTGTAAAAATAAATAAGACATTAAGATATATACAAAGGTGTATATTAACAAGCTAAACCTGGGGACCACATTACAAATGAGGAGTCACCTGTCTCTCCATAATGTGTTCTGTGGATTTCACTCCAGTCACTTTTCAAGATTGTTTCACAGGTACAGCGAACCTGAAACTCGTAGAGCGTGCAGGGCTGGGGACTGTCCATTGTATAGCTGTTAGCATTTCCACTGTCATGCTGTGAGGAGCGTTAAAAAAACAGCTTGAGCATGAATTTAGTGACTAAAGCTTTAACTATATATAGTTTTCCTTCAATGTCTTCTTTCATGATATTAATTCTATAATTTATACAGCCATGGGCACCGTACCCTCACTGCCAACATACTGTACTCCACTACACAGTGTGGACCATGTTGACAGAAAAAACAAAGCAGATCAGAGGCGAGACAAAATCTTAAAGAAGACACCTCTTGCCAAACTTGATCCGCATCGGTCCTATGTCGGAGCTGACAGGGTCCCGCAGAGAGCTGGTTGTTACCACAGTCGAGAGACCAGTCAATTTCTATTGACTCCTGCTGGCTTACGGTGACTTTAGGAGGGCACGACTTGACTGAAGACAGAGACAAATACCCCAAAACAATTTAATTTGAAATATACCTTAAAACAAAACAATTTAGAGAACAATTATAAGTCAGTACCAATTTTTTTTACACTGAAGCAGGTAGAGTTATACTATCATTACTGTCATTGTTGGTGCTCTCTCTATTTATGAATGACATTTCATAAGCTCACTGATACAAATCAGTGACTCACTGTTATCTTGTGGGTAGAACTTAACAGTCTGAGATTTGGCAGAACCATGCTGGTTTGTTGCCTCAACCCAAACAATAAAATTTTCATGGTAGGTAAAGTGCTCACGATGGATAACCTCACTCAGATTGGTCCCATTGATTACATGCTTCTCCCTGGAAGACAAGACAAAACAGGCCAACAAAGCAAAAGGAGCAAAACAAAATCAGAAAGCTTCTCTCCAAATTATCATATTGTTGTCAATTTTAAAGATGTCAGATATTTAAGATTAGTTGTGTTTACGTCCTGTTTTCTGGCTCCCAGTGCAGGCTGTAGTAAGAGGCTCCTTGAAGGTCTGGGCTTGCATTCCAGGAACAGTTAATATATAAAAGGTTTTCCTCATTACATGGAATAAAGCACTCAGGAGCAGAAGGGGGAGCAGGAGGACCTGACAAAAAACAAAGAGTAAAGGATAAAAACAGCTGATTATTCGTTACCTGTACAAAACTAGTTGTAGTACTCATAAAAACATTTGTAAAAAAAAAACTAATTGTTATTTTTCAAGGAGGGTAGGATTTATAGCATGACAGTTACATTTGGCTGTGTTTCAGGTAGGTGTACCTAACAAACTGACCCTATGACCATTACATCTGAAGCCCATATGGGTTTGGATTATAACACGTCTTGTCACCTTGTATGAAGGGCTCTTGAAATGTCTACTGTACTGTCAACAAATACATGCAGATCCATTGGCTCGCACAGTAGGAAAAAAGGCTGTGAATTTATGGGCAGTGGCACATACTAAAATGTCTAATCCAACATTTTACAACTAGGAGTCACAACAAGCAAAGGTGTAAGTGCAACAGACTTTCCCGGATATTATGAGTCACAGAAACTTATTATCAAAGACTTACACAGCTAAAATATAGACAGATTACAAATTAAATGTAGAGTCTACTTATTATTAATCAGTATTTTAGTAACATAAAAATAATATTCATAAGCAAAGAGACAAAAAGAGAGAGGCAGTGAATATCTGAGGGAGAAGATGAAAAAAGAGCTAGAGAGGATGATATAGAAGCCTGAACTTAACCACAAGAAAAATACAAAGACAGGGCTCTTCAATCATACATATATCCCCCTATAACCGCAAACACACACCTTTTCTTATAATCATCAAAAAACTATCACCTTTACCCATTTCTCGTAAGCCTAGACGCTTTTAGTGGTTATCAATCTGATGCATGCACAACAGGCTGCAGAGAAACATGTACCAGTAACGTAACAGGAAATGAGCACTTGGATCACAATTACTTTACACTTCCTTTGTCGCCACTTCGTTGTCAGTAAAGACAATAATGTAATATTATCTTGGGTCAGTCTACAAATGACAAAATTAAGCCATCACACAAACATGTGACCTGCACATGTTGGCACAAAGCACCCTTTATCAAAACATGTTATGCCTCATGCAGTGTCTTTAGCATAAACAGAATATGAGCAGCACATAAAACATTCAGTGCATTCTTTATTAAACACAATTTTGAAGCCACAGTCCTGCTTAATATTATTAAGAATGAATGAAATATATATTTTGCTGGAGAGCACTTTGGTATTCATAGTATATATAACTTACTTCAGTAGTAATACCAAAGGTTAGATTAGTGTTCCTTATGACCAGTTGAATCTGACCTATTTTCACATACCTCATATATATTTTTATGTAAAATCTTTCTCATAGCCTGTTAAAAAATGTAGTGGAGTAAAAGAGCAGTATTTCCCTCTGAATGCAGTGGAGCAAAACTACAGTATAACACACTGTCAAAGGATAAAATAAAAAATAGTCACACAGTACAAACACCTAAAACAAGAACTATACCTATGCCATATTTTATTAATATGTTCAATAAGCCTACCTGCTGTAGGAGAACAATTTTTTAGGTGGACCAGCAAGAAGGACAGAAGGCACCTTGTCCTCAGAGTGGCCATTACATTTGGAGTCAAGCTTATCGTGCCTGTGGAAAACACAAAACTATATGTACACATATATATAGGCTACAGGACATGATTATGCAACTACAGAAGCTATAACCTGTAACAGCTACATTCCCCAAATCCAATCACTTTGTTGATGTTTTGACAGAGTAAATGCAGCACGCGGTAAGAACGTGTGGGGTCTTTGTCATGTACTGTGCACGGTGTGGTTTGGCACACCTTAAATAAAAACATGCCGAAAGGCTATCTGCCAAATACATTCCTGTTAGATTCATTTAACGGTAAATATAGTGATAACAGCCTAAATACTCCGAATAAGTCAAGATTACCGCGAATTGTTTTGTTCTCCGGTGGTAGCGAACTGTCAGCTTAATACATTTTAAATCTAAATAGTTTACCTCACTGTGAGACACAATGACAGACCACTCATCCATGGTGTAGCGATATATGACGCAACAGAAATGTTTGAAAAGAAAGTTTGTCATGAAGCTGCCCGTTCACGTAGCCGGCCCGCTCCGCCCATTTTGGAATTACCAATGACGTCAGCGTGCGCGTGCACACACGCAGTACACAGCAATACCTATGCAGCAATCTGTTGTAACGTGTTTTTCACCCAAGTATGTTCCCGGAGTTAGCGGAAGTGTCTCTATATCTTTGTCCTCCCCAGCTACATACACGAGAGATTCAGAATATTAAAAACGTCTCTGAATATAATGTAGTCCGGTACAACACCACCTTTAACTATGACCTCAATAATAATCTTAGAACCGCGTTTTTACATTTAGGGCAATTTCACCAAAAACGGAAACATTTTGAGTTTCATAAACACAGATGTTATATAAGGTACCAATAATATTAAAATGTCTATAGCCTATACTGTTATAATGTATAATATAATGTACTATAGGGTTCATGTTTTTAAGCCTCGATTAGTGAAGAAATAAGACATTCCATTAGCATACTTTTTATTGTGGGTCTAAACCTTTAGCCCACTGAAAACTCTTTGTGTTATTAAACAAATGCAAAATACCAACAATCTATTTATAACTCACAAACAGGATGAGACACTATTAGCAATGACTTTTTTCTTTTACTGTCTGTTGTCATATTATTTTAACAATGCATTTATCCTCTTGAGTTCACAGGCACACAATTTAGCTGATAATGAAAAAAAAATACATTAAAATGATAGTGGTTGGGAAAACCAAAACCTAATTCAAGGCTGTTCATTACAAAGTCTAGAATGCATTTTGCTAAATAAAATGTAAACATACGGCAGCCCTTTTCATACACTTTGTAGATACAAAGAATAAAGCATTTCAAACAGCTCATGGTTTAACAAAAAGATTGGATATAAAATGACCTCACATTCATGAGAACTGGAGGGGAGGGCAGTGAATGTGTACGTATTTGTGTCTCAGCAAAGGGAGCTGATCTCACTCTTGCTGCAGCCCCACTTGCAGCAAGCATTGGACAGACCCACCACCACATCCCGGCCTTTGCGGTCAGCTTTGCGTAGGGCATCCAGGATTTCTTCAGTGAAGAAAGAACGGGCTGACCTGCTAAATGCTCCCTCCTGTTTGTCTCTAGATGCTAAGCTTGGAACTCTGTTCCTTTGGAATTGACTCTCCACCACAGAGTTATGACTCAAGACTTCTGAGGACTCCTCTTGATTGGAGCTGAAAGGGTCCTCTGAAAAATCTGCTGCAATTAAATGGGCAAATGAAAACATTAGAAAATATTCATGCTTTTCTCTTATATTCATAGACTAAAAATTGTTTGTTCTCTTACATTATCCATATTGTCATTAAAAGAATTGATTATGATGCCATGGCATGGAGTGAGTGCCAGCAAAAATGTCTAATATACCTTGTTTACAACCAGTAGAATGTACACAATTTATTTTGGAGTCAAATACTCAAATACATTTTTGGAGAGTTGTTATATAGCCTAAGTGGGTGGCACATTAGTGCAGTTGTTGGCAATAGCAGCTCACAGAAAAAAGGTTCCATGTTCAAGACATACAGTCGGCTGTGACCGTTCTGTGTGGGGCTTCCGTTGGCTCTACACTGAACTTAGGTGTGAATGTGGGTGTGGGTGTGAATGGTTGTTTGTCAGCCCCATGATAGAGTGGCGACCTGTTCAGGGTGTACACTGCTTCTTGCCCAATGGCAGCTGGGATTATCCTCTCAACCCTCCACCCCCCGACATTATGCAGGATAAATGGAATATTTAATGGATGGATGGAAGTTATTTAAGCACATAGCTCAATATAGTATAATACTGACACCACTGCAATTGAGAAATATGGCTCTCTGATTTCATCATAGATTGTCTGACAGACAGGTCAACCATAGCATACAACATGAACATTCAATACAAAATGTAATTTGTGACATTCTCTGTCACTGTGCAGTTAAAATCATATATGATTCCTTGTCCCTCCATTAGAGATTTTACTAGCACATGATTCAGATGGACACAATCACAGATAAGCAGAATGAGGTAAAGACAAAAACTTCATCAGGGACATACACTTAATTCACATCAATCTAGAGAAATCATAAATGATCATAACATTAGAGATTCAAATAAAAATCTACAATTAATAAATATGTTTTTGTCACCAGATAAGAAAATATATCCTGTACAGTCACCAGATGAAACCCTAACCCTAAAAGATGTGGTTAAGAGATATCATAAGATTAGTAATGGTGAAGATGTGCAGTTGTTACTACAGTCTCACCTGCACTCCTGAGTGATCGTCTCCATCGTGAACCTCCACAAGTGAAGATGACTGCCCGGATGAACTCACGGCCACAGAGCTTCACCCCATATGATGGATCCTCCATGGGCTGAACCCCAGCCACCAACAGACAGACAGACAGCACCACAATTTTCCACATAGTACCCCAAGAAAATGAACTGAGCAAGAAGCGGTTAGGATAAAGGCAGGTTTTTATTTTTAGTTATTTTTTGCTTTGAGCAGTACTTAGATTCTTGTCTCCCTGTTTGCAAAAGCTATGCCTAAGAGACCCAGGCGTGGTTTATAAAGGGGTTTGGAGCCCGGCAAGAGAGACATACATACTGCGCATGCAGGCATTCTCCAAGAGAAGAACAGATTTGAAAACCAGATACAGACAGAGACCTTTATGGAGACAAAAAGCTGGCCAAAGGTGGCATAATTAACGAATATGTCAGAGGCCTCAATGACCTAATTCTGATTCAAATATGAAACACTTTGTCACCTTCAATGTCTGTCAATATAATGGCAGCATCAGGTTACACAAACATTTAATACCAGAATAAGAATCAGAATCAGTTTTATCAGCCAGATGTTTTGAGCACATGAGTAATTTGACTCTAGTACAGTGGTTCTCAATGTGTATGTACAATGATCTTCTGCAAGGCAATAAGTAAACAAGATAAGACTGAGAGAACAAGAAAAGGAAAAGAATATGCAAAAAAGAAAAAGGAATGTGCATTAGGAAAATAAAAATAAAGTAGTTATAAATATAGAAATATATGTACACAAACTGATGGAGTTTGTCAGATAGATATATACAAAGGTATATTATCAAGGTATTGGACTGAGGCATAACTTCCATATGTGTTATTTTCCTTTTCTCATAAAAATTGCTTATTCTGTCATCTCTTTGCCAAAAGGTGAACTTGGGAGGTGTGAGACAGGACCAGTGACATTTAAAAAGTTAGATAACATAGAAGACTTATTATGAGTCACACAAAATTAAAACACATTTTTATCTGTGTATCCACATAGTCAAAGGCCACTCATTTAGGAAATTACAATGGAGATGATGAATTTCCAATTAACGTGACAATAACAAGCAAACAAAATGGCATTTTAGTATGGTGTCCAGACTGACACTCATTAACACCGTGCCATAGAAGTGCCCTGTGGAGATCACCGAAGCAATATCAAAATGCTTTTCATAAATGTCTGGTTTAGGGACAGTGCATACTGTTGACAATATTATATTATTTGGTTCTACATACTGAATCATTTGTTTTAATGTGTGATTTTGAAATAATTTACAATTAACCTTTGTGCATCAGTACACAACAGGTGTTGTCATGATGTCTGGATAACTATATAAAAAAAATTGCCTCACATTTTTTATAGCAGTCATTCAAAAATATTACAACACAAACAGATATACAGTATCATGTAATCAAATGTTTTGTGTTTGATCCTACTGTAGGTTATATGAAAGTGATGACAAAACACAACATTAAATAAGACAAATTTGGAACTGAAGGTGGATATATATACCTTCTGAAATGAGGTATGTGTATGTGAGTTCTTGTACTTCCTATATAGTGAGGACCAAAAAAATATTTTCTGTTACAGAGTGGGGGCATTATTGGAAAATGAGGACATTTTGGCTGGTCCTCACTTTCTGAAACAATTTTTGAAACACTTTTTTGAGGTTTAAGAATTGGCTTTAGGGTACAGGCTAAAATTAGGTTAGGTATAAGGGTTGGGGTTAGGCATTTAGTTCTGATGGTTACGTGTTAGACCAAGGAATTAGGGAATTCATTATGTCAGTGGGTGTTCTCACAAAGATAGAAGTACAAGTGTGTGTGTGCCTTTGTATTACTTACATTATGGGGACCAAAACCTGTTAACACACTCACATTGTGGGGACTGCACTGATTTTTTTTTTTTTTTTTTTTGTGAGGCAACATGGTTTAAGGTTAGGGTGTGGTTAGGTGTTAGGGTTAGATAAGTAGTGGTTATGGTTAAGGTTAGGATAAGTCTACAGGAAATGAATGTAAGTCAGTGTAAAGTCCCCACAAGATATGAAAACACAGAGTGTGTGCATGTGTGTGTGTGGTAAAAAGTAATGATTTCAACACACCAGAATTATTGTTAGTAATTTCAGAGAAGTCACACTACTAGACCCTGAGACCTTTCACTGAATGAGCAGAAAGATGATTCATCACCAAAAACAAATGAGTAACCTACTGGGCTATACAACAGGTAGTAATACAATGTTAATATATCTATGTTAAAGTAGCTTTGGCTACTCCACATCTTAGACAGAGGTGCTATAACACTATCTGCACTAACTGCAGAATTTTGACAAGCACTGAGATGAACCTATTACTTTTACTGGCAGAGTAGCCACCATAGTTATAAAAATTTGATGTGTATGATAGACAGGGATTTTCCACAAATGGGCGTGAAAGGCGTTGTAGTACAATTTGTTGTCCCTGTGACTTTAAGACGATTTGGCAGTGCTCACCCAATCAGAGCAGCGAAGGGGGAGGGAAGGGAGCGGGCGGGTAGCAACAGTTGCCCTGGTGAGGACGAAGCGCCATAGCCACGGTAGCCCTGGCGACAAGAACCCAGCAACGAGAATCAACAACAACAACTGAATCCGCCATAAAAAATAAAAGAAGATAATTTACCGGTAGGAAATACTCACGTGGAACCAGAGGTGAAGCTCTTAACGTATAGAATATATTTTATGTCCATCAGTGTTTCAACTGAATTGTGCTATTGCTTTTCCCTTGTTGTTTCAGTAGCCATAACAGCCAACTGCCTTCAAGTGTTAGCTGAGGTTAGCCAGCAAGCTAGCCGTTGTACTGATAATCAGCCGAGTCCGTTTCTTGGACTGGGTAGTTTGTGCCCGCTACTCTTTCGAGTAACACCGAATTGTACTTGCCATGACGACGCAGCCACAGATGCATACTCAAGCAGGCCGTTGTTATGGCGATGTCAAATGCAAAAGGTACAAAATGGCGGTTGTTGTAGAGACCAGTTAGCTTGCTGCCCGTGTTAGCATCATTGCTGTCACGACAGGCTCGTCAATGCTTACATAAATGGAACGAGTTAAAAGTAACGGACATTTGTGTTGTTAACGGCATATTACGTGTAGTCTATGGCGGTCATTATGCTTTTCCCCCTTCCCCAGTAGCCGTTTATGCAAAATCAAGTCTCTGGGTACATAACGTTAGCGTTAAATGGCCCAAAGGGAAGGCCAACTCGGGATAGTCAAGTTAACAGTGTAACTACTCCAACAGTTTTGGGAATAGTGTAGATACTGGCTCCGAGTTTGACCAGTCACTGGCAAGTGAAATGTCGTTTCCTCCACAATGGAAAGTTGAGCGAGCTGGGGCAGGTGGACATTTAACATCTAAGGGGCGTGGCGAAAGAGTGCGTTACTGCAGGTGCTTTGCAGGTTCATTTTAAACTTTGTCCACTGATTTGCCATATGAATAACTTTATGTTTTAATACTATCTCTTCTTGCCAGTTGATGATTAACGTAAATATTATCCCCCAATTCAGTTTTGAAAACACGGATCATCATAAACTCTTTCTTCAGTCCGTTTTTTTTTCACAGTGACTAATTAAGGCACGCAGTTTATAAGTTAGTATCTATTATATTGTTTACAAAATGTCATATTGAGGACAAGGTGTACATGTTATCTCCTCGTGTGATAGAATGCATTGCAGTATTAATGCAGTGTGATACGGGGTTTTCCCAATTGTACCACAGGCTTAACTATATGTGAAAGCACATAGGCTGTATGATCATGTTACAGGTAATGAAATACCGAAATACTTGTTCCCGTCAGTGCTCCTCCCCCACACATTAGCTGCACCGCCAACAGGTCAGCCACAGCAGTGCTTTCAGAAACAGCCTTCTCACTCATTCATTTGCATTTAGTCAGCAAATGAGAATGTAGAAATATTCACCAGGATGTAGAGCAAGGATATGAGCTGCTAAAAACATGGATTAATTTTATTAGCAGAAACAATTGGGATCAGATCAGCATCTGAGGTCGTTTGCTATTTTCTACTTGCACAAGAGATCCTGCAACAAACATCACTAGCTTCATGTCCAGGCTCTATGTCTATTAAGACAAGTTGTCCCCCCTACTCCAAAATGTTAATTAATACATTTTGAAAGTGATATTTTACTTAAAGCTGAATTGTTCTGACTAAATGTCTATCCCCACCTTTCTCTATCTGAATGAATATACAGTGACTTGAAAGATCAAATGACATTAGGCAGTTATAATCAGATAGAACCTGGAAACAATCATCTACTGTATGTTTATTCAGAATACATCTTATATGATCATTTTTAAAACATCCCCAGTATTTATCACAAACATGTAATCACTGTATGCCACTTGTTTCTTCTTTCCAGAGTGATCTCCAGCTCTTGTAATGGCCACCTCAGGCTACATAGGTGAGATTCAGCCAGCAGCTCAACCTCAAGGAGCTGGCGTTTCTGTCACACCAGGGCAACCTGATGCCAGCTCCACCCCTGCAACTGCCCCTCAGTTTCTGGCTGAAATTCAGACTACTGGGACTGCTCCAACTGTTGTCACACCCACAGGCCAAACTACTCCCACTGAACAAGCCACATCCGTCACTAATCAGAAACCTGCAGCTGGTAGTCAAGCCCAGTCCACAGCACAGGCCCAGCCAGCTCCGACTCAGTATGTGACTGCAGAGATCCAGGGCTCCCCCACACAGTCCGGAAATGCTCAAAGCACCCCTCAGTATATTGTTGTTACAGTCACAGGTAAAGACTGAACATCACTTACATTACAGAGAACATTTCAGTTTAGAGCTTTTCAATTATACATGCACAGAAGAAGCACTTTCCTCAATCAATCCATATTTTACAGATTAGTGCTCATAATTTTTTTTTAAGATTTGTGGCTTATGTGATTTTTTTTAAAACATTCTTTTCATTATTTTTCAAATATGATTTTTTATATTATTTTTTATAAAGCAAGATTTAATGTCATTAACCTGTGAAGATACATACATTTGCTCTTTGTTCTTCAGAGGGCTCCCTTCACTCAAGTGACAGTGTGTCTGACTCAAGCCCCCCTCCAGCTGTGGTGCAGACAGGAGTTCCCACACAGGTTGTTCAGCAAGTGCAGGCGGCTCAACAGGTAAACACACACAAAAAACTAATGTAAAGTTAATGTATCCTAGACACTTAAAACTATATAGTGTATTTATCTTGGCAGAGATCTGTGGTGCAGGCCACCTCTCAGATAGCCAAGACTGAACCAGGCACCCAGCTCAGTGTTGCCAGTCTACAGCCTGTTCATATCAGCCAGGAGGTATGTTAAACACAAACACGGTTCATCATCAGTGGTTGGATATATACTTATACTGATACAGGCTTCCACACATGGAATACAAACAAATGCACAGGTCATCACAACTTCCATCACAAAAGGGGATTACATGTGATCTCTATCATATCCAGAATTTTACACAGTTTGGCTTAGTATTAGTCACCTGAGCACATCTGTGGCCAAACCTGCTTCTGCTGGCTTCCAGCTTTTCCCAATCACTCATACCATTGAGACAGCATTAGTCAGAGATAAGATTCTAGAAGAATGGCATGTCCGTCATGAAACAGGACAACCAGCGTGCCTGACCTGGGCATCAGCTGTTACGTTAAGCTGTATGTGAGTTGTTTAGGACCCAGTAAATATGCAGATTCGAACCCAGGTTAGACAAGAAAACGTATTTAATGCTCTAAAAATAACAAACAAAACAGAGCCGGTCTCGTCCGCTGATCTTGGGGCAGCTGGGCACACTGGGTTGACTGGACTACTGTCTCCCGGGGTGAATGAGAGGCGTTGCTCGCTACATAAGAACAAAAAGAGAGTGTAAGAACAAGCAGCAGGTATAGTACAGATTGTTTCTGGTAGTCATTCTGGGGACCTGAACAGCTGAGTGCGCCGCAGGCCCAGGGAGTAATCCAGGGAGAAGGAGACTGGTGCCAGAGATCTCGGGTTGGTGTGTGGGTCCCCTGATGAGGCAGCGCTGGTAGCTGAGCGGTGCGATGTAGGATGGTGGAAAAGTTCACAATGTTGTCGAAGGAGCGTAGCTCAAACAATGGTCCATAAACTTTGGCATGAACATGGAAGTGGTTACCACCAGAATAATACATAATAATCTGGCGACGAGGACGCACCAACGCTGACCCTATATACTGCTCCGATAATGGAGAGCAGGTGTGCCTCGTCGCCTGGAATGCACCCTCACCTGTGCGGGGGCGGAGCTGCTACCTGTGCCTGCTACCGAGGTACATGGGGCGGCCTGAGTCACAGACGTAACATCAGCAAACTACATAAGAGATTGCTGTGGCAAGCCCCTTTACCTCCCCTCGGATCTCCACCAACATTACCAGTCACTATACCTGCTCTCTATGCGTGTAGAAAAAGAGATAGGGGGTCCACCCTGCAGTCACCATCTCAGGCCCAGATCAGCCACCACTACAACTTCCCAAGTAGGTCAGGGACACAAGGGAGACTGCGGCCTTAAAGTTAAGGGAACAGAGTTTCTTTATAACTGGCAAATTTTTATATAATTGAAGACGAACTGTACATGAAAGCATGGTACACTTGATATGGTCTAAATAAGGATTTATTGGATTTGTGTGTGTGTATTTGTGTGTGCTTGCTCCTTAGGTGCAGCAGCAGCTCACACCAGTGCCAGTTCAACATGTGTATACCAATCAAGTGCAGTATGTGGAAGGAGGAGACACCAACTACACCACCAGCACCATGTTAGAATAAAACTGTCCATTTTCTGATACAACCAGACAGAACTTTTGTCTTTTTTGCAGTTTAATTTCTCCAACAGTTTACATTATTTCTAACACATCTTTCCATGTCTCTTATCCAGCCGATCTAGCGCCTTCCCTTACACTGATACGCCCTTGTACACCCAGACCACAGCTACAGAGTATTATGAAGGCCAGACAACATCAGACTCACAGGCCTCAACTCCTGGCACACCCCTGGCCGTCTCCGTGACTGCTGGCACAACAGGGGGTGTGTCTATGTTTGTGGCCCAGCCCACCAGTGCAGCAGGGGGAGGGTCTACAGTTGTGACCACAGGTGGCTCATCCAATGGGGCAGAGGATGGCGCAGGCACCAATGGTGGCACATCAGGCAGCTATGTGATCCAGGGGGGTTACATGCTGGGCAGCAGCAGCGGAGGGGCAGCTGGCAACAGTCAGAACTACTCACACACCGCCCGCGCCTCCCCAGCCACTGTGAGTATTACAGAGGGCGAGGAGAGTAGTGTGCCGTCGGCAGACAAGAAGGTATGCAGAGGCGCCAAGCGCAGGAATTTCTTCTTGTTTTGTTCTCATCCACACAACCTTTTGGTGGCGCACACTGATGATGTCATAGTTCAGTTTTGTGAAATGGAAAACACAATTAAAAATGTTAAGACATGTATTAGGACCAGGAACATGAGCTGCGCCTGATATAATACTTTGAGTACTGAACACAATAATACTTGTTATAAGTTATAATATTTTTAACTGTGATTTCCTTCTCAAAGATGACAAAACCATGACCTCATCATTTTCATGTCATTACAATGCATGTGACAAGGGGCATTTTTAATTTGCCTGAAATGCCCCAACACTATATTGCTCATCCCAAATTCATCATATTGAACCCCATATGATAATGGAAACCAGACTATGTTTGGCAAACATCCCATCAGTATTCCAGGTCATCCATTGCATACCAAAGTTGTATGCCACGGCACGCAAATGTATGTGTGTTGTCATTCCTGAATGATCAGCAGACTTTAAACGTGAGCGGATCTGTTTGTTTCTGTAAAATTTATTGATTAGAAAAATGAATGTGCATGTACTGTACATTAAGCTGAAAAATGTGTGTAATGTGTTTGCAAATAAGCTTGTATATTTATGTGTGCACATATGTTGAGGTGCATTTTTCTTCTCCTGTACTGGCTTTGCTAACTGCATCAGCTTTTTTTTTTTTATCATTGCCTACGTGTCAGGTACAGTGGTTGCTGGACAACTATGAGACAGCTGAAGGAGTGAGTCTGCCACGTTCCACGCTCTACTGCCACTATCTGCTGCACTGCCAGGAGCAGAAACTTGAGCCTGTTAATGCTGCCTCTTTTGGGAAACTCATTAGATCTGTGTTCATGGGGCTACGCACTCGACGCCTGGGCACACGGTAAGATGGGTCATCAGACACCTAAATGCAGGTATAGAAGACATGATGGATCCAATATGCACAACCAATTTATAGCCCAGCCATGCGCAAGTTCCCTGTGTGTCATGACAGGGTTGTATATATTGATGGCCTAGCTAATGTGCCGACTTTTCTTTCTAATTTGTTTCTGCTGACATGCTCTGTTCTGATCAAAGTTTTAAATATCAGCATAACATTACACAGGAGAGCAGTGAAGAGACACATTTTCTCCCTCAGTTTTCCTGCCATAGCAATGAAGTGCTGAATGGCATGCCATTGATTTCAGTAGACACTCCTAGTATACATTCTGTATGATCCATATGTATATAGATCTCAGTTTAATAGACATGCATGCAAAGTTTCCTACAGGAAAACTATGAAACATTTTCTAGGAAATTCTAAAGAGCTCTTTGGAGCTTTGCAAAATGTTCGCCTAGTGTAGGAAGAAATGTGGGTAGAGGTGAAGACAGACAGCATGTGTGTGGGTGAGTGAGTTTGACAGGAAGGGAGAGAGTGAGCAAGTGAGATTGACTTTTTAGAAATGTTTGGTTATATTATTTATTTATATGATAAAGTAAGTCTGTTTGCTTGTTGTATTTTATGAAATTAAAGATATAGATTTTAAATCACCCTGTACTGAGACTGTCTGTCTTTGGAGGAGTTATAGGTTTATATAGACAACATACACACTTTCCTGTCACCCCCCTCCCGTACAGATTTACTATAGGACTTCCAGTTTTATGTAAACACATATTTTATCTGTTTGTGACAGGGGTAATTCTAAATATCACTACTACGGGCTGAGGATCAAGGCAGGTTCTTCTCTTCTTCGTTTGATGGAAGATCAGCAACATCTGGCCATGAGGCAGCAGCCGTTCTCACAGAAACAGAGGTGCATGCATAAATGACCCTACAGAAACTCAAACATTTCTTGTTTGTCATTACGCATAGTAACCATTTCTCTCAAAAGTTGTTTTAGGAACATGTTTAGAGTGGCAGTTTCATTTTCCATCTGAATCGATTTCCTTTATACAGTTGTGTCACTGATTCTTGTTTCCCTATGTCTCTCAAATTGTAGGCTATTTTAATTCACCCATGGTTCAAATCATCTGCTATATTATAAAACAATTATTATTCCATTTTAATTTATTAGTCATTATCTCTGTCTAGACTTGAAAATTTTATTTAAGATTGCCTTATGTACATTGTCCTTGTTCCCATCAGGTTAAAACCTGTGCATAAAGTGGAAGGGATGACCAATGGCACAGCATCAGGAGCAGGCCAGGGTGAGTTCAGTGAACAGTATGAAAGTAATGTCCTGATGAGTCTGATGGCATAGTGTTACTGAAACTACAATATGCAACTAACACGTGACACAGTGCTATTATTACTCCCTCCATTGTGCACTGTGTCCCAGATGCATCCAGAGCTCTCCCAGAGTTCCCAGAGATTGATCTCCAAGGGAAGTCTCTGCCAGAGGGCATTGAGCTGGAGCACATCAAGAGTTTTCAGCTGCTGTACAGAGAACACTGTGAGGTAACCGACTGACTGACACAGCTAGCGGTCACTGAGTATTTATGAGGATGCCTTTTCTGTCTTCTGAGGCTCAGTGGAGGACTGCTTTGACAATACTAACTGGAAATCCACTGAAAACAGGAACAATGTTGTTAGATACATTTCAGTGTCAATATGGGTTTAAAGGCCCTCAAAAGTATTCATTCATTCATTTTTTACCGCTTAGTCCCTGAACGGGGTCACGGGGGCCCTCAAAAGTAAGCTCCTGTAATATCTAAAGTTCATGTTTTCCTAAATTTTTGTCAGTTCATTTGGTCCCCTGATAATTTGTATATCCACAGTTACACTATTTATTGTCAGTCATTAATGTATATGGTGTTTTCTTCTTTCAGGCCATACTGGATGTGATGGTCAACCTGCAGTTCACCCTGGTGGAGACCTTGTGGAAAACCTTCTGGAGGTTCAGCCAGAGTCAGGCTGGAGATGCTACACTGGCTGTGTGAGTGGTCAGCTTATAGGCAAACATTCAGTTGCAGTTCTTGTCCTAAAAGTAAACGTAGTAGGAAAATTCTTCTACTGCAGTACGATTTTATACAGAATGCAGGTATTTCAAACTGTGTGTGTCTGGGCAGTCATGATGAATCAGAGAAGCGCCTTCCTAAGTCCTGCCTGGTGTTGCTGTGCAAGTATGAGCCTGTGCTGCGCTGGAGCCGTGACTGTGACAACAGCCTGTACCAGGGCCTGGTGGAGATCCTCATCCCTGATGTCCTCAGACCCATCCCCAGTAAGGCCCCACAATAAGAATGAATATGTAGGAAAACACACTGACCTTCCAGTTTCAAAAGTGACAACTCAGAGAGATTTCAGTGCAACATCATTTTTGTATTTTGACTTTTTTAATTTGAAATGTGACTGTTTAGCTTACAGTTGCCATTAAAGCACACTGTATATGTCAGTACTTACAGTATGTGCTGATACAAATATCCAAATAACTGTAGCTATTTAGAATGAACCTATTATAGATCAGAGGCCACCCTGATATTTCACATGTAAAAGCAATTATACATTTCCAAAAATGCTTTCTTCTTTATGGTTGAAACATCTGGATTGATGTACTGGTGCTGTAATTAAAGACCTGACAATCAGTCATTATTGTGCGCCCACTGCTCTGCTCTGAAAACACACTTGCTAGTATTTAGACTTATTTTTTGTTTCAGTTTCTGTTTTAGTCAGACTGAGAATTGAATTACTTGCCTACTGCTATGAAGACGAATTCTTCCCTTAATCCCACCAAACTGCTGCCATGGAAATATTTTCCATGTTCTTGTTCTCTGTTTTCCATGAGAATTAGAATCACATTGAAAATCTATTCATGCTTATTCATGGCCAAGAAATGTGTTTATCCAGCAGAAACCTGGCTAACAAGGTGTTTGAGTTTCCTTTACATGCGCAGGGGACAAACATAAACCTATTTTGAAGTGACCAGTATGAAAGTATTGCAAACCTTCTTTCTTGCTGCCCCCCAGGTGCCTTAACTCAAGCCATCCGCAACTTTGCAAAAAGCCTGGAGAGCTGGCTGACCAATGCTATGATGAACATCCCTGAGGAAATGGTCCGCATCAAGGTAGATTCCCTTTGAATTAGCTTGTTGTTGGTGAAACAACATACCGTCTTCCGAATCAGCCATTACAAATGCATACATGTGTTGAGACTGGTGGAAACTTACAAACAGTTTAGTTTAATAGTTTGAACTTTAGTGTAAAACTAAAGCCTGTTTTAGTTAGAGAGCTAGAGACATGTTTTATATGAAACACTATCATATTAGCTAACAGAGTTGTGAAAATAAATGCAGCACTATTTCCTGGTAAACTGATGAATAGAGTAATCAATAAATGAACTGATGAATAAAGGCCCATAACCCTTGATCAATGACATACCTTTCTCACATCCCCATTTTCCTCATTACACTAGGTTATTTGTAGAGATATTTGCATGTATGCATGCCTGTATGTAAAAGCATTTATATTTTTGATGTCTGTGGTGTCATCTTCCTCCTTCAGGTAACATCAGCCAATGCATTTGCCCAGACTCTGCGTCGCTACACCAGTCTGAACCACCTCGCCCAGGCGGCTCGCGCTGTCCTCCAGAACACGGCTCAGATCAATCAGATGCTCTCAGACCTCAACCGTGTCGACTTTGCTAACGTTCAGGTTGGTTAGGTCTCTGAACACTGTGCACGGTCAGCATTACATTATTATTAGTGCTTGTGGTTGAATCTTGCACTGGTTTTAGTGTTATGCATGTGCAACAGTTTCTGCTGTAGCTTGCGGTTTTAATGAGGCTTAGGTATTAATAGTTTACTCACTATGTCAGTCACTGTCTTTTTACAAATTTCCTACCCAGGAAACATAAACCAAGCCCTCTTGTTGTTTTTCTCAGAAATTCAGTGTCTCCTTCCTCCAGCGACAGTTCGTTGCAGGGCCCTAAACCTGGTAGTGATTCAGTATCTTGCTCAGACATGCAGCTCTGTACACAAGGACTCTTAAGATGAGTCTTGTGTTTGAAGAATGGTCTGTCTAAACATTAGGTCATCCAGCTACCCTCTACTGGTAAGACTAATGCCAGGTGTGACTGTTTCTTATTGACACATTGCCCTCATTCTGTCCGCCCTTTGCAGGAGCAGGCTTCATGGGTGTGCCGGTGTGATGACCGTGTTGTCCAGCGGCTGGAGCAGGACTTCAAGCTGACACTCCAGCAGCAGAACTCCCTGGAGCAGTGGGCTGCGTGGCTGGATGGTGTAGTCTCCCAGGTCCTAAAACCCTACCAGCAAAGCCTTGCCTTCCCTAAGGCTGCTAAGCTGTTCCTGCTCAAGTGGTCCTTTTACAGGTGTGATGAGAGCAGCTGGAGCATCTGTTGCATGTTACAAAACAAGGAAGAATGGGAATAAAATGTTAGGGCTGAGCAGATCACGAGAAGGGCTGTGGTCCATTCATACATTTTCAATATAACCAGCACATTTGCTGTATGTTCTCAGTTTAGAATTAACATTTCCAATGACTGAGTTTCAGTTGTGTCTCCCCTGCTCTTCTTTAAAATACCAAATAAATTTTTTTTAGTTTGCTGTAGAATTGTTACAGCGCCACAGTGGTTAGCGCTGTCACCTCACACCAAGAATGTTCCGGGTTCGAGCCCGGGCCGACCCGGGGCCTTTCTGTGCCAGAATTTGCATGTTCTCCCCTGTGGGTTCTCTCTGGGTACACCGGCTTCCTCCCACAGTCCAAAGACATGCAGCGTAGATTGATTGGTGACTTTAAATTGCCCGTGTGGGTGTTTATCTACATGTGAAAGAGTGGTGACCTGCCCAGGGTGTATCCCGCGACCCAGTTCAGGAATAAGCGGTGTAGAGGATGGATGTAGAATTCTTTGAACTCCAGCTTAGGTGACTGGGAAATGTAATAATGTTCACAGAGGAGTGTGTATGCACACTAGAGCAGTTTTCTAGGCTGATTACATTTAACATTTTAATTCTGTTTTGTTGTTTATGATAATGCTAGATGCAAAGTTTAGTTATTTAGTAAATGAACACATTCCATTTATTTATTTACAGTTGTGTTGCATGATCAGCTTAGGAGTCCAGCTGTACTGAACATATTCATTAAGCAGAAGTGGTTAAGTAAGGTGGAATGATTGACTAATGCTTTGAACTTTGTCACAGTGCAATACTGAGACACACTTCCTCTTTTTGTGATTAAAGAAGAAGTGATGTAGATATACAGGATATATTGTAACAGTGGCTTCATTCCCACCATCCCTGCTCTCTAGTTCCATGGTGATCAGGGACTTGACCTTGCGCAGTGCAGCCAGTTTTGGTTCCTTTCACCTGATCCGCCTGCTGTACGATGAGTACATGTACTACCTGATAGAGCACAGAGTGGCCCAGGCTAAAGGAGAGACTCCCATTGCTGTCATGGGAGAGGTACGGCAACACATAGAGACCTACCCTCATGAACTAAATAATGAAAGCCATATGAACAGTAGTAACACATTTCCCTCTTGTCATTAGTTTGCCAGTTTAGGCCGGGGTCTAAACCTGCTGGATCCTGACAAAGGTAATTACACCCTGCTCTGTGTTGCTACTGTATCTCAGACTACCTGCAGTCAAGTTCCAAGTAACTAACTCATTTACCCATGTCTGTTCCAGAAGAGGAAGAAGAGGAGGAGGAGGAGAGTGATGATGAAGGCCAGGAGCTGTCCCTTCCCTCAGATGGGGCCGTGCTTGGAGAGGAGTCTCTGGAGCCGCCTGCTAAGCTGGCCAGAACTGACCAGAGGGTGCTCTTCACCACTGGATCAGCTGACAACTAACCACAGTCACAGCGCTAGACGTGGGTTGAATACATTGATCATTCACACACAGATGTACAAAGAACACTAATTTATACACTTGACACATGTATATAGATCTTATAACTGTGTGTGCGCACTCTTGCTGCATACTGTAACTGTCCCACTTGTTTATGCACACACGGACGCACACACACAAACAGTCAAAACACACACCTATTCAGTAACAGCCGCTGCCTGGATAGCACAACCACAGTCATTGACATTGCAATAGGATGTGGCTTCAAAAATTGGACTCTCTCAATGCAAAGAGAAACAGAGAGCATTTTAACCTTCAGATGTATGGATCTGTAAAAATGAACGAAGGCAGGCATGTTTCTTTTTTTCATATCGCATCGCAACTTGTAGCCTCACTGAGAAACTCCTGCTCGTCTTAGATGTCACTGCCGTATCAAAGTGGTCTTGAAAATACTGTGATGTGTGTGTGCGTGTGTATAAAGGTAACTTCTAAAGGAGATGGGTGCAAAGTGAATGTTTTAAAGTAAATGGTTGCTGAATTTAGTTGTTTCTAATCCATTCAGAAGAGAAGAGATGTTTGTGAAAGGCAGCAGGCAGGTGGACGATTCAGCGGGTGTGTTGTCTGTGTATGTGTGTGTTTTCTGTTGGCATGAATGTGAACTGGAGTCACACCACTTTGCTGTTACTTCTGGAGAGTGACTGGTTTTCCATAACGTGTGTGTGTGTGTGTGTGTGTGTGATTTTGAGTCATACCAAGTGTTGACTGTTCACTTCTGTAGATATTTTCCAAGGCATTCAAATGTTTTGATTTGGGAGACATGTAGATTTCCTGTCTGATTTTATTCGCCTGTAAAGAAGACATTCTCGTGTTCTTGGAGTGCCTGTCACAGCTGCTACACACACTTATAAAGAGGCTACGGCTGTGGAATAGGGGTCTCATTAGTTGCTGCAAAAAATCCTCTCTTTTGCTGAACATCTGGTTCTATGAGAGAGGTACTCTATGTGTAACATGTTTGAAGTGCTTCATTCCTGTCCATCCAGTAAGTTCCTTTGTAGCCTCATTTTCCTTTGACATATCATTTTGCCTAATTTCAGTATATTTTTTCATGTGTGTGTGCCAAACCTGTTTGCGTTGATCCCAGATTGTCAGTTTTAAATTCTCTCAACATTTTAAGGAGGACTGTGCCTGAGTAAGGAAGGTGATATACTTATATGCTACTGTATATTTAGCCACTATTTTGAATTTTGTTGTCACTAAGTGAACCTCTTGTGCAGTGTATGGTGCGGTGTTGTCACACATTGTAAGCAACCTTTGTGTGCATTATTGATTTGTGATTGTATGTTCAGTTCTCAATCCAAAATCATAGCTGATGGCTTTTTCACATGACAGACTAAGGCCCTGCCTCTTTGCACATATTGACTATTGTCTTTAAAACTGGCAAAATTCATCAGAAATGTTTCCATTTTCTTTGAAGTCTTGGGTGTATTGTTAGTGGTGGGGTGCAGGTGTCAGATTTTGTGCAAAGATCTCATGCAGTTCAGAGAATTTGGTGAGCAGTGAGAGATGCGATGGCTCTTCCTGCACAGTCCTCAACCGACGCTCATCTCGCTTCACTGTAGTGTCATCTCACTGCGTTGCCACTCTCCTGCCAGTAGCTTTGTTTTGCTTCAAACATTCATATTCTTAAACATTGTTTGTCAAGACTGGTTCTTAAAAACATGTCATTTTTGGATTTTTAAATATAATGTCTTTAAATAGCTGCAGTGCATGTCTTCAATGGACACTGCCAGCTTCAAACCAGCACATCGTCCTTTATATGGAGTCTTAACGCTACCACAGCTGAGTACATATCACAGTCTTTTAATGATCTACAGTATATAGAATGACCATTGTTTACCCAGTAAGAAAACTGTTCAGTCATTTTTATAGTGCATTGTTTTTTATGTACAAAACAAACTGAGAAACAAGATGTTCAGTGGCAGTGTTTTATGAATTTGGTCTGCTATAAGTATGACTGTGCCTTTGGAGGTGGTAGAATGCAAATCAGATGTTTTTAATTTTAAAGATATAAATTAAAGAATTTTTAAAATTGCACTTGCATTCTTTCTTGTATCTTTTTTTTCCTCACAGTTGAGAAAACGTATTGGTTTTGAATAGTAAGTAGTCACACCTCTGCACATCAGCATTTCTAATCTTTGATAGTCTTCTGTTTGCGAAACAGAACATAACTTCCTGGGTCATATTCTCACACGCCTGCCTGTTACCACTTCTGCTGTAGTGTACCACAAATTATACTGGAACAGAAACCACAAATATTTTGTCTGTTCTAGAAAAGTAAAGGTCAGCTTGTGCAGGAGACACAACTGTATTCTGAGTTTTAAAACTCTGAAAACACTTCATGAAAGAAATTAAAAATACGATAAATATGGAATATTACAAGACTAGTTTACTAGTACGAGTATAAAGCCACTGTGTAGTATAGTATGTTTTACATGTCATGGGTGCATTGCATTTGTCTGCTGTGCCACAAATAGTGTCTCTATGTGGCCACAATGAGATGGCTGATGAATTGAAGGAAAAACTGTCTTACTACGATTAGTGCAGATTCAGTTATCCTTTTCAACATTTATATCAATAGCTGGGATTCCTGTTTGTAGCCTGGTCCGAATTAATGTGAGAAAGATAAATGGTGACATCTACTGGTGTCTTATCTCAGCTGCACTTCTGTTGCATCTGGTGACAACAGGCTAAATGTACCATTTAAAAACAATACATGAAAGACAACAAAATGTTTACATTGTAAAGTAATTGACATTTTCCACTTTTTAATTCAGAGGTTTGCTGCTGGTAGTCATTTATTCACAATATCAACTCACAGTTGCCGTCCAGAATACAGAGATTCATACCAGACACATCCCTGTAATTCAAAACCAAGCTAAAGTGGGACACGTTGGAAGACTAAATTTCATTCTTTTGTGCACAAACAATGACAGTGGGAAGGCAAAGAATTTTGTTTGCCTCTTTAAAAACCAAAGCAGAAAGGCAATAGCACTGAAATTTGGGATGAAACCACAGCATGGTTCAAATGCATGGTAAACCTTGTGTGACATGTTGCCCATGTAGAACCTGCAGCTGTGTAAACTAGTTGATGGCAGAGCCTCCATGTGAAAAAGACACTTTAAAGTCACTACATGACCAAGACAGATAAGCAGCTGCTATTATTATGTGTAAAATGTCTTCAGAGCAACATGAAATAACTATGGTTGTTGACAGTAAGCCAGCCAAAACTGAAGAGCATCTTTTTCTTTGCATCTTGTCCTTCAAAGCCAGTGTATTTTTTTCTTGACCCTAAATTAAAGCTGTTAGCTTCTGTCTCCAGAAAGAACATTTGAAGAAGCAAAATCACAGATGGGCATGTAATAAAAACAAAGTGAGGTAAGGAGAAAAGTTACATGGCAACATAAACTGAATGACATTAGCCACTTGTGTCCAAGGCCAAAACAAAGATGCACAGCCTTTTTTTAAGGTGCATAATTTAAGCAGTTTATGGGGAGGCAATGACAGTTATTAGGCTTTATCACGGTCTCCCCAGTTAAAATGTTATAATAATCTGGGTGTAAAAACATTTCCACATTTCCTCCCTCAAACCGCTCGCGGCTTGGCTTGGTCTGCTATGACTGTCACAGTAGGCAGCTGACTGAAGCTGTTCTGCAGCTGAAGAGTGGCCCTGCTCTTTGTTTTTTTTTATCTATCTATCTCTACCAGCTTTAAACAAGTGTTAGTCAACGCATCCTGTTCCATATGTACATTGTCAAACTGCCACACTCACACAAAATATTGTACACATTCATAAGCAAAATAAAACTATTTTACACAATGCAAGCCTCACCAGAGGGAAATAAACATGGTGAGCGAATTAAGTAAGCTTTAAAAATATGTCTGATATATTATCTGTACCAGATACACAATATTATTGTTCTAATAGTGCTGTGCAATTCAGTAAATATTACACTGAGATGTGAAAGTGCGTTAAAATGAGACTTCAAAGTCTTAAGAGGACAGTAAACAAAAAATTAGATAGATGTGTTGGCATTTGAGGAAAGGTTACAGTTCTACTTATAATAAAAGATTTTTAAAAAATTAAACTTAACAGTGATCCTAGCCTAAAGTTCAGGGTTGTCCTCTTCATCCTGTTGAGCATCAGACCTTCTGCCGTGAACTCTCACTGCATCTAAAACACAACCAGTTGAAAGGAAGCACATCTCTGTGTTAAAACCACTACTATAAATCGTAAAGTGTATTATTCAAATACAAATATAGTGGAACTCTCCTTGACACATGTAGCAGAAGCACAGATAGCACAGAAACATGATGCTGTGGCCCCTGCACCAACCTGTCCTTGCTGGGGAGTGGCTGATTGGCCGGGGGCCTGTCCTGTCTGTCCGTAGTACACTGCCTGCTGCCTGTAGTACTCCGCCCAGGCTGCGCTGTAGTCCGGCTGGCCTCCAGCTGTGGATGCTGCACTCCCATCAGCACCCGGTGCTGCTGTCAAGTTAAAATTATGTCGGCAACTGAAAATGATTTCACATCCATTTGTTTTTCACAAGTAATTTGTCCATTAAATAAGAGTAATGACATTTAAGTGCTAATTTACTCTTTTCTGACGGTTCAAAAATCCAAAGATGTTCTATTTACAATGATGAAATCATCAATCTTCACGCTGAAAATCTTGAATAAGAAAATGTTTGGCAGTTTTACTTAAACAATTCGACTAAAACATTATTTAGTTTAAATCAATAAATCATTTTAGCACTAGTTAAGAAAACAAAATCTTTCATTTGTTAGTTAAGATGATGTTCATTGGCAGTCTTACCTATCCTCTTGTAGTACTCCTCCCAGGCCTTGCTGTAGTCTGGCTGGCCTCCCGCCGTCTGTGCAGGCTGAGTCTGGTCCCCTGATGTTTGGGCACCTCCAGCTGGGTTTGCGGGGTACTGGGCTGGCACAGAGCCCGGCGGCTGTTGGTAGTACTGAGCGTAGTAGGCTGCCCAGGCTGCACTGGGGTCACTGGCTGCTGCCTTGCCTAAAAAAGATGCAGGGTGGAGGGGGTGAGGTCCTCATAGGGTGAGGGTGAGCCCCTGCTACTGGCCTGGAGACCGGGCTTGGAAACCAGGGGGGAAACAGAGACACGGTTAGCCAGAAATTCTCAAGGCAAAGACACAGCATCTCATTACATTTCCACCAGTACTCCTTTTGACCTTCCCAGATTTAGAAAACAACACATTTATTACTCATCAGAAAAGATTAAAAGGGTTGTGCAGTGAAACATAACCTGAAGTGAAAGCACTACAGTCTGGGTTGATGTGTTTAACATGATAAAATGAGCAGAAATAAACACTGACTCCTGAAAATGAGGAGAGGTAGTAAAGTCAAAGGTGACTCACTGGGGTCATGGGGTGCCTGGGGCTGCCACTGCTGGTAGGTGTTGCTCCAGCCTTGTGAAGTGTATTGGTGAGGCCCCGGAGGACCACCACTGAGGAGAAAGAAACGATTTACTAAAACACTTCATCTTAGATGCTCTTAACATATGCTGAAATGTGTGGCTTTCATTGTACGGCTAAGGCGGCACAGAGAGTGGCAAATTAGTTGTAACTACTCACTGAGGTGGTCCCGGGGCCCCAGGCGGTCCTGGGTTATATGGGTTGGGGTTATAGGGATCCAATGGACCAACAGGACCTGGACCACTTGGCCCCGGGCCCACAGGACACAGAGGACCCTGAAGCACCATCACACATCAAATAAATGCACTAGTCTATGACTCAAAATGGCTTCTCATTCTAAGCTGGTTACTGTGACTGAAAACAAGAACGATGCGTACCTCAATCTTCTCTTCAATGAGCTGCTTGGCGTGGTCGATCTGCTGCGGCGAGCCCCGGATGATAAACAGCTTGAAGTTTGGGTCTCTGCTGGGGGGCGGCTGTTGACAGATTTCCACAAAGGCCCCCGTCAGCTGGTTGATGGACTTAACGTTCTCTCCTCCTCGGCCAATTACGAGCCCACACTTGTGAGCAGGAATAGAGAAGGTCATTTCGCCTCCAGACGGATCCCAACCACCTTGTCCTCCTCCTCTGCCCCTGTTGCCCGCAGGCATGCCCGGAGGACCCTCTCGATGGCACAGAGAGAACACCTGATGACGACAGCGTGGTACTGTAGATGTTTGTCTCTGAGAAATGTACGTTTATAGTGAAAAGTAGGCACTGCTTTTGTTTTAAGATCTGGGTTACAGATAGTGCTTATGTTTATAGGTTAAGTTCTTCTGATGCAAACATTAGAAGCTTAAAAAGTAAAATAATCTGCCTCAAGGCTGCTGCTATACATTTACTGTTATCCACAACTGATTAAGATCTTAAATTTGATCTATTATCTAATATCTATTTTTATTATCATCTTTTAGGCTATAAGTGAACAAAAGCATATTCCAGAGCGAGACAGGTCCTTTGTGTGTGTACCAGAGAGTGATCCTTACCCCCTGCCCCTCCTCCCTCACTCTGATGCTCTGCAGCAGGTCGTTGATGATCTGGGCGGCATGTTCGCAGCAATCAGGAGGACCGCTGATGTGGGCAATCTTATCTGGACCAGTCCCATCATCTGAGAAAAAAAATTAAATCCACAAAAAGCACTTTGATTCACTTACTATGACAATTAGTGACACATCAAACTTTCAAGAGGTCTTGACACAGATGAGAATGTGAATGTGGTCTTCATGGAAAATGTTACAGCAACAAAATCTTGAATTTCTATAAATGCAACCATTAAAAAGTCATCACCTTGTTTGAACTGTATTCTAACTCCAGCATCATTCTGGATTTTCTTAATCATTTCTCCATTGCGTCCGATGACGACACCAACTGAGTGTCGTGGTACGGGGATCTGAGTGGAAAACAGGTTGTTTTTTGTTTTCAAAGAAATCTAATCCTAGTTCTCCTTTCTCCTGCTTCTACCATCAAACTCACATCCATGCCATGAAAGTCATTTCTTTCACTATAGCCACCGTGGTCTCTCTCTCTCAGAATCTCCTGCACCATCTCCAGGGCTTGCTGAAATAGAAAACATATTGATTACAGTATATTCTATTCAATTCAATTCAATTAATGTTATTTGTCCCCTGGGGGCCATTGTAAATATACAAAGAGTAGTTCAGTAAAAAAAAAAAATCATTAAATTAAGAAAAATACATCAGAGGATATTAATATATAATAGTATAACATAGTAATAAATACTAAAGTAGTGCAATATACATCTGCAACTGCCGGTCCAGTCAGGTACCATGTCAATGTATGTGTGCGTGCATTGGGGGTAAAGTCATCAAAATGGGCAGCCAGTCAAGGACAACTTGGAGTTGAGGAGTTGAACAGGAAGGGAGCCGCTCAAACATAGGGAACAGCGCATATATGGCAACTCAGCCCCACACATTTACTTTGAACCTGATGAAATGACTTTATACATGTACCTGGACTTTGTAGGAGTCTCCTATAATGCGCAGGGGCTTGTCAACATTAGGTCCCTGAGAAGCATCCTGGATCAGGATCATCTTCACCCCTGCACGCTCCTGGAGTAGCACACAATCAATTATAATTATGTATCAAATTACTGATACAAACAAAGGATAAACGTGTATTTTTGGCTCTATTTATAAAACCATTTTCATGTATAAAGATATGGTATTATACAATTCCCAATCTGAAAACACCACTTTTTTTTTATATCACCTACACACAGATCTAGTTGGTAGTGGATTCAAAAATGGCAAAAGCAACAGCTACGCAATGTACCTGCAGCTGTTTGATGGTCTCTCCTCCCTTGCCAATGACAAGGCCAGCCTTCCCAGCTGGGATCATCATCTCATGAACTGTGCCGTTCTGTCCATCGGTGGACTCATGATAAGATGGAGGAGGTGTACCTCTCCCTCGTGACACTATGTCGTCCAACAGCCTTTTGGCTTTCCTAGACAACATTATGTCATCAAGCTGATATAAATGCAAAGGAGACTTATCTAATTTTACATCCTGCAATGTTTATGAAAATGAGCACTAGTTCATTATATCTAACCAATTAAAAATAACATGATGCATCAAACATCATCATTTAAAAACATATGACTGTGTCACAGGCACATTGTTTTGAAAGATATTCTTGTCCTGCCCCCTCTTCTGACAAACTTGGTGATTTACCACATACACAGGGCAGCCTGCTGCAGCGTTGGTGAGCATTTATGATGCTTCTACATGAAATAACAATAAGCTTATTTGTTTAAAGTTTGAAACTTACTGTATGGAGTCATGTGAGCCTATTAGATAGACGCTCCTCTCTGCAAGGCCCCCACTGTCTGGAGACAGAGATGGGTGGAGTACATTACTAACACCAAAAGGTACATAAAATTGTTCACAATGTTAAAACTGTTCAGGCTAAATCCACAGACACTACCTGGAGCAATCTGAACTTTGCAACCTGACTCCAGTTGAATCTTATTGATCTGTTCACCGCCACGACCAATAACTGGGGATGAAGAAAGAGAAAGCTGCATGTTTTTGGTGGTTCAACAATAGTTGAACCTATTTGTATTCTATATCTCAGAAATACTGAAAAATCGCTATCACTGAAACATAATTGGGCTGCACTCACTGAGTCCCACCATACTGTCTGGAACGCTGTACTCCTCTGAGGCGGCGGCGGGCCTGGCACCATCAACAAACAAAGACGACAAATAGGAGGCAACATGCCAGGTTAAAAAAACTTTGTAAACTTTCTGCATTTTTTTGTGCAGCCGTTCTTCCCTCCATGGTCACAACACAAAGACTGATTACATCTACATAAAACACAATCAACTAAAAACTACAAGATCTCACCTTTGTTGTGCAAGAGCAGCTAGCTGTGCACTAATAGCTGAAATTATAAAGCAACAGAGAGAAAAAGAGAGTTAGAAAACAATGTAAGGAGCAGGCAGGTCTTGGCTTACTGATATAAGTTATAAACACAGCAAAGCATAAAGTCAACAGCATAAAACAGCAAGATGAAACTCACACAGTGATTTTGCTGAATCTAAGTCACTTTGTGCAGCCAGTTTCTTGCTTTCTGGTTCATCTGTCAGGTGAGGAAACGACAGATATCTACTGTAACTGGGAGTGAGTGCCGCATACATTGTGCATCAAAAAAACATCATCAACTATGCAATAAAGAGGTGGTAAAGCACTGCTACCTGCGTCCTCCAGCTGCCGTTTCTGTGTGGTGAATGGAAAAGCATCTGATGACGTGTTGTTCATGGGAGGGACAGTGTCACTCCCAATCTTAGCTGCAATCTGAAACACAAGTTCAAATTCACAGATATGAAAAACACTGAGTGCACTTAAAATATATGCACATGCTAACACTCAAATATACTGTAAGGCATACATTTGGATTGTATTCAGTACATATTACATTCATGGAAGTTATCCTCCATTCTCAGTTGATTTAGATAATTCTATTTTATATTTGATTTTGATGGTCATGGATATTGTGTATAATTTGGCTTTTTAATTTTATTTGTTTCTTAACTGCTACATTTTGTTTTTGTGAAACAGCCTTTAATGGCCTCAAGGCTTTGCCACAGCTTGCTGCATCTAACAGGTATCCACTTGGCATCATACCTGCAACACCTGCATAACACTGTTATACCAATTAACCTTGTTTTGATTTAGAACCAATGTACAGATATGTGGTATAGACAGTATAACCGGACGTCCCATCCCATTTCTTTTTCACATTTAGAGCCCAACAAAAACATAAAACAAAAGGCAGAATATTCCTATACCCATATATATGTGCATACAAATGTAAATTAAACACATATATCACACAACTGTGTCTACATTTACTTAAACCCATTTGTTCACGTACATATGTGGCCATAAGTAAAAAGACAATCTGAATACAATAAAGTTAAGGCAAAAGGGGAAAGAAAGCAGAAAACCTGGCGGTTGGGCCATGCCTTTTAATTTATGGAGGAAGAAAAAAAAATCAGAACAGATAATATAGATGTTTCTACACAGTAGGCTAAGCAGTAGTCCTACCTCTACCTATTTATAATAACAATATCTTGCAAAGTTATTTGATTTTGTTTTTAATGCCCAGATCACAATGTGGGGCACAAGCTAACGATCAGTATTGTACTATGATGTACACCGGTGACTCGAAAATAACTGTTACGTCAAGCTACCCGTCCTGCAACATGCTCCTGCCTGTCACATCCATCCCTCACCTGCCGGGCCCGCTGCACGGCGTCAGCAAACGCATCTTTCTTGTTCCCTTCTGTTCCGTTCCCAAAACCTGCCTCTCCTCCTAGAGGGGGACCGAAGCCTGGTGACGATACCACTTTGTACTCTGACATGCTGATCAGAAGACAAGCGAGGGAAAACGGAGCAGAACTGTGTGGAGGACAGAAGTGGGAAGGCAATGGGACACTACGGTAGCCGGGAAGGTCCTTTCGGTGCTGCAATAGCGCTGCAGCCATTTTGGACTGAAAAAAAGCCAGTGGGCACGAAAGTCTACATCGACAGAGTGGACAGACATGACGGAGAAACTGAATTCCAAGTGGAATAAAAGAAAACAGTGTTCGGCTATTAACTGTAAAAACTATCAGTGTAACAGTAAACAGGTTGCTTTTCACCGTTTCCCCAAAGACCCTGACAGGTAGCGTAGGATGCCTCCTTTAATAACATTGTCACTGTTTGAATATGAATTCAGTAGCTGTGGTTATGATCATAAACAAAGCTTATATTTGTAAAGTTTTACATGTCTTGTTTACATGTTTGTATTTATTGCTTCTTATAGATTCATATTTTGCATTACAAACACTAAATAAATGAATATACTGTATGTGTTTATAATATAAAAATTAATGAATAAATATAATGCTGCCTTTTACAGGTGTGCCAGGTGGGTACAGAGCCTCAGAAATGCATCATTGGTGGGGATAAGTTCTCAGCGGCTCCATCAGAGCTACAGGGTGTGCAGTGCACATTTTCACCCTAGCCAGTTCAAGAGAGCATTTGATGTGTATGTATATACTGAATAAACATCGCATTCAACTTCAAAACGAATGAAAACAAAAACAGAAGGATGCTTACTATTATAATTTAAAAAACAAAATGCAAAAATATTTATATATTGTATGTGTTTGTTTTTGTCTTTGTATTCAGTAAATAGTATATACAGTAAGTCACTATATTGTTCTTTGTCTTTCTTCTTTATCTTATAGCCATGGGGGATTAAAATGGAATGCAGAGCCCACAAGGATTAATGCAGTTAACCCACAACCTTCACTGGACTTGGAGTTAAGGAGAAACCCACCAAAGACTCACCAGGAATTACCACCAAACAAACGTAAGATTTCTTTTTTTTATCAGTTTAATATCTTGTCTATTTACTGCAGTGGTTTTACTGTAGTTCATATTTTTCAAAATGTATGTTTGTTTTACAGGCAAACAGACTCATGTTGCTCATCTGTCAAATGCAGGCTCATCCACTGCAGACAGCGATCAACAAACCCCTTGTTCACCAGAGAGAGATACTGCCACAACCGATGCTGCTGTAGCAGGACAGTTGATGCCGGTGACACCAACATCATTGCTGCCAGACCCTGAAGCTGCTGCCAAGGAATGTGCTATGAAGAAGAAGATCAGGAGTCTGAAGTCACAGGTGTGCAAGCTGAAGGCGAAGGTGAGGGAACTGAATCAGCAAATAAAGACCAGCAAAGCAGGTGTTAGTAAGGAGTCACTGATGAAGCAGCTGAAGAAACTCTTGCCAGCCAAAACCTATGCTTTTGTGAGTACACAGGTGCGTATGTCTCAGCGCAAGACTCATGGTTTCCGGTGGACCACTCAGGACAAAGCTTTCTTCATGGCTCTACTACATGCCAGCCCACAGTGTTACAAACTACTGCACAAAGTGTTTTCTATGCCATCTGTCCGAACACTGCAGAAGCTTATGAAGTCCGTTGATTTCAAACCTGGTTTTAATCGAAATATTCTTGCCAACATGAAGAAGGTTATGGAGACCACAAAGCCCATGGATAAGGTTTGTGCTATCATCACTGGTGAGACGTCTCTCAAAGAGGCAGACAAGATTGAGGTTTTTGATAATGGTCAACATACTCCATATGTTGCCAGCTCTGCCTCTGCATTCATGGTAAGAGGGTTGTTCCAAGAGTGGAATCAACTCTTTGGATACTGCTTCACCAGTGGGCCCATACAACATTCCCAGCTTCAGTCATTGCTGCTAGAGGCCATTTGTGAGTTAAGGAAGGCTGGGATAGAGTGCTTAGTCTTCATCTGTGACCAGGGTGATAGTAACTGTTCAGTGCTTGCTTGTCTGGGTGTAACAAAGGAGAAGCCATATTTTGAAGTAGATGCTGTCAGAGTGTTCTGTCTGTGGGATCCACCACATCTTATCAAGAGTATACGCAATAATTGGCGCAGCCACGGGTTTGCACTGGATGGAGATCACATCATCTGGTCCACTCTGGAGGATCTGTATAAATACGACAGCAAACAGGACATCAGATTGTGTTGCCATCTTACTAAGAAGCATGTGTATCTCCCCCCATCTGCTTCCACAAGTGTCAAGTTTGCTACTCAGGTCCTGAGCCACTCTGTTGCTGTAGGGATAAAGACGTTGGCAGAGATAAAACATCTCACAGATCAGTCTCAGAGGAACTATATGGCAGCTGCCAAATTCTGTGAAAATTTTGATGGCATCTTCAGCTGCTTCAGCTCCAAGCAGCTCAAGGATTCTCACCAGTTGAAGTCTGCTCTCTCAGAGGCATCCGCACATTTTCCATTCTTGGAAAAGTGCATGAAGTGGCTTCCCTGTCTGAAGCTTCTAGGTGCTCATCTTGGAACTGAGCAGATTCCATGTGTAGAGGGGTGGCAGCACAACATTGTGTGCTTGAAAATGATCTGGTGTGATCTCCGTGAACGCCACCAGGTGTCCTACCTTTTGACAAATCGTTTAAATCAAAACTGCCTTGAGAGAGCCTACTCAACCATTAGGGGTATGTAAATGAGTACTGTGTTAAGCCCAACCTTGCCTTGCATGGTATTTGATTGTAACTGTATCTAATAAGGTGGTGTGTGTGTTTGTTTTCAGCTCATGGTGGTAATCATGACAACCCTGACTCTGTCCAGTTTGAGTGTCAATACCAGGCTGCTGGACTGATGTTCACCAAATCAGAGAAGACCAATTGTGAGCAAGATCTTGACAACTTCTTGCTGCAGTTCTGCACATACGCCTCCCAGGAGAGTCCCCAGGTTGACACAGAGCATCAGTCAGGTGCTCAATCTACTCAGGATAGTCCCAGGATCACCATCAATACTGAAGAGATTATGGATGAACACAGCTATGCTGGAGCGACTTCTGATTGTGAAGTAGCTGTGGACAGGCACAGTCTATGCACATCTAGGAGCCAAAGCTGACCAAGTGCTGGAGCCACTGGACTAATCACTAGACAGATTTATTCCCAACACAGAGACCATGATAAATGATCTTTGATTCTTTTTAATTTTTGAAAATTATATATATTTAAATTACAATCACTTATTTTTTATTATGTATTAATATCCATCAAGAAGAGCCAATGGACTGTTCTGTGGTCTGGGAGAGTGTCCAAGACCAGCTATCTACCTCTAGTAAACCTGGGAATATCAGAATCCTGGCAGAGTGCTTAGCCAAGGCCAGCAACACAACAAAACCCGAGGTATGGGCAACTCAGAATCAGAAAAGGTTTATGTGTACATGCAAGAAATTTCACTCTTGTTGATAGATTAGAAAATATATACTGTACATACCACAATGAAAAACAATCTGTAAAATATACATATTTCTGCAGCTTATTACCATCAGAACACTGATGCTGATATCAGCCCTCCTGAATTTATCCTATCAGAATCCGTCTGGACCTCCTAAGTGAGATGACAACACTATATATGGGCAGTAAGGTTGTGAGGAAATTCACTGGCAGTAAAGATGGTCCCTGTAGAGAGTGTAAAATGTTGACCACAGATATCCCTGCTGATTCACGGTACACATTCCTCAATGACAAAGAGTACAATGACCTCAGCTCAGGAGAAAAGGGTCTTAAAGTGTCCAGCATGTAAGTCTGGAGTCTAGTTAAAAAAAAACACATCAGTTCAGTTATCCACACAGTTGGCCTGGAAAGGAAGCTATTAGTATGAAGACTGAGTGCAGGGGAATGGTGTGTGATGGGGGGAAGTACAAAAATCACTGGTTTACATGCTTGATTTGATTTGATTTGATTTGATTTATTCTTTCAAACATGCAGAACAGAACAAATGACAGCAACACACACATAATTACACATATCCAACCAATGCTAATCCAAAATCAGTTTGCTTACACCTAGTACATGTTTGAATGGAGTAGGAAGAAGTCAGACTTATCCAGTCCTACCCCATAACATCATATTATACAAAAAATTTCATGCATCATTGGCTGCAAGCAGTATCTCTACATAGGTAATACACAGAAAATTAAAACAGAGTGTTTCCTTAATGCCTTCTCGAATAAATCTTATTCTTGCATATATCTTGTATGACACATACATTTATATTTATATTTAAACTCCTCAATTCTATTACTATTTTTTATGTCCACACTTAAATTATTCCATAGTTTTACCCCACTTATAGAAATACAAAATCTTTTTTTGGTTGTACATATAGCATGAACTTTTAAATTTAAGTGACCCCTTAAGTTGTATCCCCCTTCCCTTTCATCAAATAATTTTTAGATTCCACCAGGTAATAAATTGTTCCTGGCTTTATACATAAACACTGCAGTCTTATATTCCAATAAATCAAAGAATTTTAACAATTTAGACAGTATGAAAACTACATTTGCGTGATCCCTATACCCCATCTTGTGCACAACTCTTATCGCTCTCTTCTGTAATATGTACAATGGTTGAAGTGAACTCCTGTAAGTGTTTCCCCAGTTTTCAACGCCATACTCCAAATATGGCAAAATCAATGAAGAATACAAAATGCGCAATGCTTTAACGTCCAGCATATATCTAACCCTTGCCAATATCGATATATTTTTAGCTATTTTATGCTGAACATATCTGATATGAGATTTCCAGGATAATCTGTCGTCAACCATGACACCCAGAAATTTGATTTCATATACCCGTTCGATGTTAGCACCCCCAATTCTCAATTGAAGTTCATTATGTGGTCTACGGTTCCCAAATACCATATATTTAGTTTTCTCCAAATTCAAAGATAGTAAATTACTATCACACCATTTCTTTATCTTCACCAATTCCTCTGAAACCTTGCTTAGACGATACATATGGATCAATTCATCACACCTCACGCACCTCAAATCAGCAAAGCTCAAAGCCAAATCAGAAGTACAATAGAAAATTTCTGGAAAAAAAATGTATTGTAGGCTATCAGACTGTGATTTGTAAATCTGAAGCAGTTATTAGCAATTATTTTAAATTGTGTTTAATGAATGAAATTCTGAAGTTTCTGGTTTGATTCTTTCATAAATTTAATAAATGTATCATAATAATTATCAATGTAAGTTCTTTGTTTTTACACTACACACAGTATAGATACCAGACTTCATCAAACTCGATTTGACAGTTCTAGGTGAAAGGTTATCCAAACAAAATCGTTGTTTCCCCCCCCGGTTGGTGCAAGAACATATCTGCACCGGACAACGATTCTGATTGGATAACCTTTCACCTAGAACTGTCAAATCGAGTTTGATGAAAGCTGGTATCTATAATGTGTGTTACACTGTTAAATAGCACTGAAATAATAAATCATTAGCCAGTTAATAGGAAAATAATTAGAATTTGTTTGATGTGTAATTGATCAATTATTTCAGTAAAAACTGTATTCAAATATAACTTGCATATTTTGGTCCCAAAAGAGAATTCAGATTCAGAAACTTATACAGTGCATTCACTCGAATAAGTGAACAGAGATTGATACTAGTCATTTTTGAGTTTACTGATATTGACTGATGTTAATATCTTTGGTCAAATATTATGTCTGGCTGCACAAAACAATAAGACATTTTCACAGAAGCCACTGCAGTGTGTTCATTAAGATTTACATCTTTGTAAAACTTACATTTTCTATTTGTAACTTCATTACAAGGTTGAATTAAACACTCAGAAATGGTGATCATTAAAGCACTAACCTTTGTAAGAAGGGAAGCATCATAAATCATCTGGCAGGATAATGAAATGTTACTTCGCTGAGAATTTTACATAGAGCTTAACAGACAAAAACTGAAAACTATTTTGATAATCCTTTCATTGTTTAAGATACTTTAAAACAGAAACAGCCTATCAGATATTTCCTGATTTCAACTTCTCAACCATGGACATTTGTGTCTTCTTTATTTTATATGTACTGTATATAAAGTGAATATTTTAAGGGTTTTGTACTGAGGGCCTTACATTTGAAGACACTGCCTCGAGTTCTTGTGAATTGTGATGGGAATTACTGTTTTCTGTAAAAAGGTAACTAATTAATCAAAAGTGAAAGTAATTGTTAGTTATAGCAACAATTTTACATGAAACTGACTTTAACCAGTTCTTTGTAAAGCTTACTGAAATGTCTTTGCTTGGCTTATAATTCATTTACAAATATCCGGAGAAATATTTGCAGTTATCCTGATAAATATTACCCATACTGTAGTAGTGGCGTAGTAGGCTAAACTGGGGGAGCTCCATGTTGTATTGGCGCAGCCAGCAGAGGTGGCTGTCACTTTTTGCTCTCCATTAGATGCGACGCCAGACGCCATTTTTCTTGTGGGTGAACTACGTAAGCTAATGGCGAAAGCGTTTTCCTGACTGTGATTGGTGGAATTTGTTCATGTCAAAGGTCATGTATATTTGGCGCTCTTGAATTCACAACCCCTCTGGCGCGTTTTTGAAAGATGTTAAGAACTATGTACTTTGAGTGTCTGCTCGGAATAGTTTATGTAGCTTCACTGTAACGTTCTTCACTTTGCGTAAATGTCTGGACAACTTTTGGGATTTGGGAGGAGCGAAGCTGCTCTGAAAGTAGCACCTAGCGAAGTCTGCTAGCTTGTTGTTTTATAACGATATTTATATGTCTGCTGACAGCACACAGCTGTCCGCCTCACACGATGAACTTTGCCTCTGTTGCTAATTCACACATACACGGGGAATGAATAAGAAAAGACAAGAACACCGTCTATGAGTTGCAGCACGTTATCGGTGAGTGTTTTAGTTAATGTAAGTTACCTAGCCTATCTGTCTTTTGGCACTAAACTGGAAGAGCTGCTGGGCGCCATGTCAGAAATATTATTAAATTTCATGTTAGTTGTTGTCTCACTACCCGAATTTATATATTATAAAGTTAAAACTGTTGTATATAAGAATTGTTATACTGACTTATCTTAGTCGTAACTCAACTCTTCCCTCCCTGCGTAGTATGGTATGTATTCTATAGTATTGATACTGTTTATTTGTGTTGCACTGTATAAGGCTATTTAATATTCACAGTGTCACGTGGCTGATTTCGCGTAGTACATTTGTTTACTCTTTCAGAGACCTTGAGTGTTGCGGTTTTAGCTGACATTTTTGTCACATCCAAAGTCGAATTGAAAACGCTCTGTGTTAATTGATTAGTTATAGGTTGTTGGATCGCTATTTAGTTCTAACTAGTTGTAAGGGCATTGTACTAGTTAGTCATATGAGGACTGATAGGGAGATAAAGCTTCTCTGCAGGCGACTCAGGCCACTGACCCACTACAAGGGCAGTTAACACTTCATCTAAATCTCTGATGTTGTCTTCAGTGAATACTCTTTCTGTTCTCTGTGAGTATAACATTGTTTTCGTTTGCTTCAGTTCTATTCAAATTATGGCTGGTGTTGTGGCTATGGCATCTGTCATTGAAGACTTTGACACCCAGGTATATTTATGATACTGAGTTGAGCCTTGACATGGAGTAAATGCAGTTTGTTTTTGATCATTCTTATGCATTGTCATGTTTGATTAACTTTGTTGCTTTTTTTTTTAACAGCCTTGCAAGAAATCTCGCAGAGATGGTGGCAATCCCGTTGTTAAGACAATAACAAACTATTTCCCTCCTGTTGCCAAGCCTGTGGAGAAACCCTTTTCTCCTCCCCGATCCAACATCATCATGGACTACTTTGGCCGGAAGGCTCCATCCTCTGAAAGAAAGTCCAGCTCACCAGAACAATGTAAAGGGAACTGTCAGATGTCTCACTCTGCACAAAAACACATCAGCCCAGAGGCAGTAGTGAAGCAACCATCTCAGAAACGGGGTAGAAAGGCCAGCAAAGCTGCAAGGAAGCTTATGGGAGCTGAAACTGTTAGCTACAAGGAGGAGGCAAGCTGCCTAATTCTAGAAGAACCATATGACAGCAGAGATTCAGCAGCAGAGGCAGCCAGCAGCTGTGAGGTCCTTGGCAGCGATACAGCAGCTCTGCTGGCCCAGCTTAGTGCTGAGTCTTGTGTCACTGCAGGGACATCAGAGATGGCTGTTAGTGTGAAGCAGCCTGACAAAGATGCACATCATGAAGATATATCCATATGTGAGGATAGCATTAGAATTAAACCAGAGCTGAAGAGTATTACCCTATCTCCAATTGTGCCTTCAAGTGATAAGGCGAAACGGGTAAAAAATGCTGCACGAAATTCTAGGAAGAGGCAGCAGCAAGAGGCAAAGCAACCAGAGCCAGTTGAGAACTCCTTGTGCAATGTTAGCATGGAGGTTGATGAGGATGAAGCCTCTCAGTTAAACAGCAGCACAGTCACAATTTCCTTTGAGGATTTTCTACGGAGTCAGAGTGAGGACAAGGGTGAAGAGGACATAGAAGATGAAGAGGGCAAAGAAGACAAAATTACAATCAGCTCTGAGGCAGAGGAAATGGACACTGACCAGTTGAATATTCCTAAAGCTGAAGAAAATGTATGTTCTGGGGAGCCATTGCTCCAAGTCTCACCCCGAACCCTTACCATCCAGGCTGAAGTGCATGTAGTCCCAGCAAAACAGGAAGCAGTGAAGGCTGTGGGAAAATTTGCTTCTATCTTTAATATAAGAAAAAGGGCCAACAGTCCTACTAAGGTTATATCGCCTCCACAGACAGAGGTCAGGCCCCAGCTTCCTTCTACCCCTCTGGCTGCTAAACGAAAATCCAATGTTGTTCTTCAAGAGGATGATCTAGAGTTGGCTGTACTTGAGAGTGAACTCACTTCCAAGTGCAGTGAGACAGAGAGGAAGCAGTTCATGGCTGCTTTCAAACAGCCTGGCCTAGATGGGTCCAAGACAAAACCTGGGAAGAGCCAGAGCAAGCAGAAGCAGGCTGACGAGAAGCGTTTGGATGCTGCAGACAAAGTTACTGAGGATGACACTGTAATTCCTCCCTCTGTTGAGCAAATCCCTGCTGCTTCTCAGAAAAACAGTGTGGCTAAAAAGAAACCAGCAAGAAAAGGTAGAAAGACAGCTAAAGTAGAAAAGGAGGCTGTCACCACCTCATCTGCTGTTGCTCCCGTGGAAGAAATAGCGGTCTTGATTAATGTTGATGATAAAAGAGAGGAACCTCTCATCACTCCAGCTTCCTCCATCCCAGCTGTGAGGAGGTCCAGAAGACAGGCTGTGATCAGACAAGCACCTGAGCCTGCCCCAACAACCCCTGTCAGAAACAACAGAAAATGCACAAAGGATGCTGCTTTACCTGACAGCCCTATAAGGATCTCAACCCCAAAGACACACAGGTCCAGACACGGAGTTTTTGTAGCAGAGATTGTGTGCCCTCCTGACATAAAACAAAGTCCCATCAGGTGATATATGCTTATAGTTTTGATTTAATGGATACTGTGAAAAGTATATTAGATGTATGTATATACTCAGTTGGCAGTTTGGTATGTATACCAAGCTAAAATGAATGCAGATGCAATACAAACGTACAATATACAGTGCACCAGTATCACCTGCTGCGCCCTTCAGAATGACCATACAGTTGAATCATCTCCTCTTTAAAACAGTTTCAGCAACAATTGAAAATTATCACCTTCATGAAGGAGGATTTATTGAAGGACTGTTGTATTGGACTGCATCAGTCTTAACTAGGTGTATTCTTAAACAGCAAACTGAGTGTATACTTATGTATGTTCTAAGGGTCTAGTTTTTGTTTTGCATATGTTTTCATGTCCTAATGAATGTTTTCTTTTTCCACAAGGATTAAATTTACTAGAGTCCAAAAAAATGTTTCCACATCAAAGGCTGAAAGTGGCCTAAACTCCCTTTTGGCTAGTAAAGTAAGTATGACATGTTTTATAAACTGGACAGACTTTAAATTTAATGACTTGTTGAACTGATTTTGCCAGAAAATTTTAATTAAAACGTTTCCATAATTATGAGCCATGCAGGATGAAATACTTTTTCTTTTTTTCAGACATCAAATGAATCTAAAAAAAGGAAGCAGGCAAAGAAGTTGGTGAAGAAAGCTAAAGTGATTCAGCGGAGTAAGAAAGCTAGTGTAGAGGAGAAGGGCACCTTAAGGCGTTCATCACGAAACAAGGCCTCTGTCAAGAAGAAGAACTGTGAAGATGAGGTACGGTAAAAGGCCAACAAGAGCTAAAAACAAATTCTTACAGATTTTAAAGGGTCTTTTGAATGGCTTTGTCACGAGCTGGTAGACATACCAAGGAACCATTGTTACAAACATGAGCACCTGCAGGTAGCCCTGTGGTCCAGTTCTTTTAGTTTGTCACTCAAAACCTTTTAATCAACAGCAGAACACACAATGCTGAACATATCCACAGTAGCTTAAAGCATCTGATTTATAACTGATTCTCTGCTCAGATTTTTCTGTATCTTGTAACAGTGCTGTTTAATTACAGTACAGTATTAATACACTCGGACTCTGTTTGCTTTGTAAACCATTTAGTCTTTGAAGCCTTGTAGATTTCATGCGCAGATTACAAAACGTATGGCAGTATGTACAGTTTATAAAACTATAAATTATTTGCAAGTTCTTCAGTGGTCTTATTTGTGAGAAGAGCTGCAGTTAAGCACACCCAGAAAGAAGCAAGTGTACTTAGCCCATTGTTGCTAAGTAGCAGAGGCCCAGTCAAAGGTTGTTTGGCAATTGGCTCTTAAGGTATTGAATTTTTTATTTTTATTTTTATTTTTTATCTGAACCTTTCTCATCCCTGATGAAGTAAACACTGGGGGACTTTTCTTGCCCTGCGATCTTTGTGATGATTACTGCACATTACTGAGTTGTCGCTTTAACACCAAGTGAAACCAAAAACTTTTTGTATTTACTGTTTTTTCAGGATTCTGTGATCTGCATTGGGGAGAACCAGACCTCCACTCCTCAGACAGCACCAGAAAAGAGTAAATCCCAGAAATCTCTACGTAGTCTGAATGATGTTCTGGGTAAAGCCATGCCAGCTCCTAAAGAGACCAAGACTGTCCCAGGTAGTCTTTCCCACTCTAAATTGCCTTTTATTGTTTAGCATTATGTTGTAATCTTTAGAAATCATATTTAATGGTGCTGGATTTTCTTTGTGACAGGCTCCAAAGTGGCCTGCGTGGGCCAAGAGAAGAGTGTTCGGAAGGCATCTGCAGTAGTTTCCATCTTTGAGAGCAGTCAGGAGGGCTCTGAAAACTCCCAGGACGATGAGCAGTTCAGGGCGCGCAGAGAGTTCTTGAAGAGTGGGCTGCCTGAGTCCCTTAGAAAGCAGATAGCCAAGACCACTGCCACCAAAGAGGCATACTCCCTCTCCTGTTCCTCCTTTCAACCAGTTGTACACATGAAGCAACCACCAAACGGTAGGTTGTTCCCTCACAGATGTACTGTATGCATGTCATCATCATTTGACATTGATATTTCTTTTTTTTGAATCATGAAAAACAGTTGTACACAGATCAATCAAGGTAGTCAAGGGCCCAGTAAAACTTGTCTTTGTTGGGTATTTACAGACTGCCCTCTGTGGAGTCTACCATGGCCTGACTCGCCTTTACTGAGTCATCTGAAAGAGCCGTGTAGCCAAGCATCCAGGCCTCTTCTATCTGTTGCTGGCTCCTTTTGTTTGAAGACGGAACCCACCCGTAGAGCCTTCTGTGAAAGGGTATGCTGATATTTATGAACACATTTGTGTAGTAGCATAAAGCTTCTAGTTTGTCAGCTGAGAAGTACTTAAATGCTACGTATGTAAAAACACACTTCCATGCTTATTTCCTTGTATTTTTATGCATTTTGTGGTTAGTAGTCTACTTAGATTCCCCACGATAAATGACCGAAAACTGTGATGAAGAGCTACAGTGGAGTTAAACAGCAGACACAACAATAAAGAAAGAAAGAAAGTCGCTTTTGGCTTTTCCCATTTTAGGGGTCGCCACAGCGAATCGTCACACTGACGACTCGCATGTTGACATTTGGCACGTGTTTTATGCCGGATGCCCATCCTGATGCAACCCTGAGTCGAACCCGGGCCACAGCGGCAAGAGCGCTGCACCTTAACCTCTAGCCTACCAGGGGCGGCTTAAACAGCAGACACAACAATGAATCTTAATATTCTGCCTTTTCAGGTTTCTGGCTGGAGACCTGAGATATCTGAAAGTGTTCGTCAGCTTCTAATGGAGGAGGTCAGTGCCTCTAACCCTCCGTTCCCTGTTCAGATGTTCATCACTCGCTTCCTGAAGAGACGTCGCGACCACCAGCAGCACTGCACAGCCTCAGGTCAGTCTGACAGGCAGTTACTGCACTCATGCACTGAAGCAAAAACAGATATGGTGCTTTGCAGCACTTTAGATTGATGGTGATTGGATTCTGATTTTCACTAAATATTTATTTATTTATTTATTTATTTATTTATTAGCATCCACCAGGTGGAAAGTTGAGTGCTCACAATTTTTTAAGTTACATTGATGTTATGTTTATATAGAAAATGTTATCAAAGCACAAATATCAGGGTAACGATAAATGAACAGCCACAGTAAATATGCGAAAACTGCATGAAATGAAAATTATCCTCATGAATGTTGCTTGCTAGAACCAGTTGCAAACATCCTGCTTCCAGCTGAAACAGCAGGAGGGAAGAGGAAGAGGATGGATGATGAAGGGGGAAACATAGTAAAGGTGACCAAGAAGCAGCGGGCAAACCATTCACAAGAAAACGTTTCAGCACTTAGTCCAGAGCCGGCAAAAAGGGGAGGCTGTACAAGACGAGCACAGAGATCCAGGCGGGATGCTCCCATCCCATCCAAAGAGCTGGATGACATGCTTTTGGGAGCAGACACTGGGAAAAAAGGTGAGGAAACAAATAAACAGTACCTAATCTAATTAGGAAACCAGCATATAAATTAGCTGAAGAGGAAAAACCTGCAATCGGCAAACAAAGAGGGACAACAAATGGTTCATAGGAAACTCTTGGCCCAACCAGCTATAACTCATGTCAGAGCAAGTTTGCAATCAAATGTATCTGAATTGTTTGCAAGAGCCACCATTGATTATTGGTTACCATGGGTTACTTATGCTTGTTGTAATGTACTGAAAATAGAGTATACAACAGTATAGCTATGCTATGAACTGTCTACAAGAGGAAAAGACCTACCAAACTGGTGTGACAGCGTTCAGTGTGTGGTCCTGAGATGCGCCATTTGTATCCTCATTGGTAACATGTTTTCTGGATGCATTCATCCAGTTGGCTTCTAAAACCCTCAGAGTCTGTAACAAACTTTGTCCCATTAGCTATTTACTCTGTGAAACTTTGCAGTTTGTCCTACAGAGGTGATGAAGGAGGACATGCTGTGGACAGACAAATACCAGCCCCAGCACTCCAGTGACATTATAGGCAACACCGCCTCAGTTAGGAGGCTGTACAGGTGAGGAACCACACTGAAACTGCTTTCATTAAAAACAATGGCCACTGTATTTGTTGTGTACTGTATTTCTTACATGTTACCAGCCCTTAACCTAAATTTGTGCAACATGGCCTTTGGATATGAGTGTTTTTATGTTCCTTTTTATTTTTTGTACAGCTGGCTAAAGGAGTGGAAACTCCGTACAGACCAAGAAGAGAGAAAAAAGCAGAAAGACAAAAAACAAGAGGAAGACAGCAATGGTGGGAGATTGGAGCAATGCTGAGTTTATTTCCTCTTCATAACTGATGCCTTAATGCATGTTTGTTTTGACTGGGTGATGGGGCTTTGTGTGCAGACTCTGAGTGGGACAGCGGAAAAGACGACTCCCAGGATGGAGAAGACATGTGTAATACAGTCCTTATTACAGGACCCACTGGAGTAGGAAAGACTGCTGCAGTCTATGCTTGTGCCCAGGAGCTGGGCTTCAAGGTACGAGAGCATCACATGCCTTTCATAGCAGTGTGTTTTTTCTGTGAACATAACTACTCATTTCCCTCTGGTGTCCCAAGGTGTTTGAAGTTAACGCTTCATCTCAGCGGAGTGGTCGTCTGATTCTGTCCCAGCTGAGGGAAGCCACTCAATCACACCAGGTGGACAGTCAAGGGGTCAACGCCCACAAACCCACCTACTTCAGTAGCTACGCCACAAGCAGCAGCGCTGGCACTGTCAGGCCTGGATCCTCTCCCAGTATGTGCAGAGCTGATACTGATAGCACTGTTTCTAATGCGCATGATGTTTTATGTAGGATTTGTATGCAATATGAATATTACAAAATGAACTGTCAGTTTTCTTCATCTTTCAGGAAAGGTTAACTTTCCTTGCAAGGTGATTTCCTCTCCCAGGAAACATCCTCAGTCTCCAAGAGGTCCTAACAGAGGAGGCCTGGCTCCCACCTCTTTAGCTAACTTCTTCAAAATGGATCGACCCACCAAGAAGCAGCCACTTAACACTAAGAAGGATGAACAAGCAGGTAAATGCTTTTTCAGTGGATCCGTTTTTTAACTTACAGATCATGTAATGTTCATGAAAAGTTTTTTCATCAGCTTTAATTGTAAATATTTTGCTCCCAATCTCTTCATAAAGATGCTTCGAAGAAAGGCATGAAGGCAAATAATGAGGGTATCAAGAAGCATACAGAAATCACAGCCAAATCATCAGTAGCTTCAACCCCTAATGAAGAACAGAATAAGAACATGGCTACCTCACTCATTCTGTTTGAAGAAGCGGATGTTATTTTTGACAATGACTCAGGGTTTCTCGCTGCCGTCAAGACATTCATGACCACTACCAAGAGGCCAGTCATCCTCACTACCAGCGGTGAGTAGGAGCACAGTCAAAGGCAAGGTTTTACCTGTTAATCAAGTTTATTTATACTCAGATTTTTGAGTATAAAATCTCTTTCTTTACATTTTCTAGATCCTACTTTCAGCACCATGTTTGATGGTAACTTTGAGGAGATCCATTTCAAAATGCCGTCAGTGGTGAGTGGAGGATTCCTACGTATGAATGTTAAGCACCAGTTGATTAATGTGGCCTAAGCTTGTGATAAAGGTTTTGTGCTTAATGATTTGAGTCAGTTTTTCAGCGCCCTCTTGTGTCTCTGGTACAGCTGAATGTGGGCAGCTACCTGCAGCTTTTGTGTCTGGCTGAGGACATGAGGACAGACCTGTCAGACATCAGCTCTCTGCTCAGACTCAACGGCTGTGACATCAGGCAAAGTTTACTGCAGCTACAGTTCTGGACTCGCAGCGCTGGTGGCCGCCGCATAACCAGGCCACTGACGCAATCTGGCAAAAATGGTAAGTGTCTGAGCAGGACAGAATGTTAAAATAATGTGTTTTATTTCTTTTTTCATTTATTCTACCTTTTATTTGTACAGGGGAGTCCAATGAGAACTTATTTAACTGTTTTCCAAGGATGCCCTGTTTAAACAAAACAAATATTTGACATTGAAATTTAAACAAAACTATAAATTCAGATAAGACAATGACAAGAGTCATAAAACCAAGATAAATCAAACTAGATGCACCCTACAAATACATCAGAACTACAATAAGGTAAAAGAAAAAGGTACACTAGCGATTTAATGCCCAAAATGTGCAAAAATAGGTAAATATTTAATAAGTTGGTTTTCTGTATTTACATTTTTGATGTTTATAGATGTCAATAACGTATTGTTTTTATTTCTGAAATCAAATTATTGCTAAACTATTGAGAAAGTTATTCACGCCTTTATTACATCCTGTGTGTGTTACTATAGCTGTATTCTGCACTTAGTCCTAAATGCAGCTGCAGATTTTAGCATCCCTTCAGTTAAACATTTTATTCATCACTCACAAAGCATTAAACAGTTCAGCTCCTTCTCTGACCTGCTAAACTTGTATATACAACGTCACACACTTAACATCAGCAGAACAAGCTCTTCTCTCAGATCCTATGTCTAGACTTGCAACTTAAACAGTGGAATGACTTGCTGTTGACTGTCTGTACGGCTGTTTTATGTAGATTTTATTATAATACCACCTAAAAATGCACCTTTTTAAACTATGTAACTGTGTGAAGAAAATACGAATAAAGTTAAAATGACCTTTTAACATAAGTTCTTCCCTCATTTATATTAAAAGCCGAACTGAAACCAGAGGCTGATGGTGAGGCAGCAGATGTGTCTGTGTGTGAAGTGACTCTCCCTCCCTGTGATACCGGCTGCACTGAGACCAAGCTGGGCCTGTTCAATATAGAACCTGAGAGAGACATCTGGGAGCTGCTCAGGGTAAACAGTTTATTTTCCTCTTACTCTGGTTAGAGCTCATAACAAGTGAGGTCTGTATTAATGTGACCTTACGATTTCTTCATTGTGTCTGTGTGCATCATCTTTTTGGAGTTGGTACTCGATATTGTCTGGGTATGTGTTGTTAACAGAGCCGGAGTCCAGTGGAGGAGGTGGTTTGCTGGGAGCTGCTGACAGACAGCAGGCGACGAGGAGTGAATTTGTTATATGCCAACATGGTGACCCTCTTACCTCTACCACGTGCACAGCTGAAGACCTCTACCCACAAACCGAAGCAATGTGTTTCTGTGTTACAAGACCATCCTGTAAATCCAGAAGAGCCACCATCATCCACGCTGCCATCCCATGCCAGGCCACCCCATAGCCCAGAGTCTTCTGATTGTTCAGACGATGGCAGTCCAGTTAAAGTTTCCAGCAGAATGAGGAAGAACAAGAGAAGGCACTGCTTACCTGACCATGATGGGCTGCATGACTCAGACTCAGAAGACAGTTTTCAATCTCTCTGCAAACAGCCGAGTGCTCCTCGGGCACAGGAGGAAATTAAAGTCAGTCTAGTGTCAGAAATAGTGAAAAAGAAGCCACTGACTCCTGAAGAGCGGGTAAAAAGTCTCCACGTCTCACAGTGTCTAGAATCAATAGCTGACTTTTTAGACACCATGTCCTACATGGACTCCACATTGCTTGCTCATCCAGAAGTGGACGATATTCACAGAGGAATGTCACCAGTTGGTGCAGTGGTGAAAGATGGGATGACAGATGAGACGAGGGTGGAGGCTGACAAAGGGAGATGTGTGAGGGGGGAGCGCGTTGTGGAGATCCAGGCTGCTGTGGAGGCGCTGAGCTTCCACAGATGTCGGGTCTCGGTAGCAGAGGCCTGGGACAAAGCCCAGCAGCTGGAAGGGGAGTTGGGAAAAGAGGTTGCAGCAGAACTCACCCTCCCTGTGGCCCCTCATTGTGAAGGTTACAGCTTCACTCAGGACAGCTCCTGTCAACTACAGTGAGTCTCCTTAGTCTCTCTTTGGTGTAAAGCCACTCTGGATTAACTCAGGAACAAGAGAAATGTTGTGAAAAAATGAATCCTAAGCCAGTTCACAGAGAGCTAATGTGTATTGATGGGTTCCAGGCTGGTCCAGAGGAGGAGAGACGCTATAGAGAGCCTGATGTTGAGAGGAGTGGTCGGTATTCTGGGAAACAGACCAGCAGCTGCTCTGGACTACCTGCCAGCCCTTCGTGCCATCTGCAGATCGGAGCAGCTGAAGAAGCAGGGAAAGGTCAAACGGAGGTGAGCAATGCCCAAACATCATTTGTTTGTCAGTTGGCAAGCCAGCAGTGGGTCTTGGTTTCAACTGTTGGCAGGATGTGGTTAATTACTTATTCTAGTAACTGACAATCGGATGAGGTATGTTGTTTTTGTTTTTGACACCAAGCATATAGCTGGCCACAAATAAGTGTGTTAAGGTGCATGCATGCAGCTGTAACTCGTACAGACATTATCTTGAGAAGGCTTTACAGAGACAAATGAGCTGTGCTTTCATCCCCTCCCCCAGGTTTCTCCACTACCTGAATTCGATCCACCTCGGCCTTGAAAAGAGCACTCTACAGCACCTAGCTGAAGACTTCCCCTAAACCACAGATGTGTCATGACCACACAGGGGCCTTAAACAAATAATTAGAACTGGCTCTCAGACTGGAACGAGGAACACGTTTGCACTGAATGATCTGACCGCAGGACCTCAAGGCCTGATCTCGACACGAGATGAGGTGGAGATCTGGTCAGAGATGAGTTTCCATGTGTTCCCTCCAAGATGGATATGACTGCTGACCAGCCGCATAACCTCACATCTGATCCTGCACTTCTTGTGGTGCTTTCAAAGAATGCACTAAATATTACTACATATATGATTTTTGTAATATTAAGTGGTGCTGTGTTTATTTCTTTTTTGTACAGAAGCTGCTTATTAATTCGCTTTGCATTTTGCAGGGTGGTTTTTATCAAGTAGAAATTGCTTTTAATGAGCAAGTGTGACTCAATGATTTGTAAGAGACTAAAATATAGTTTGTGTCTGTTTGTAAAAGCTGTGTAAATTTTCTCCACACACCGTGCTGTTGATCCATTTAGGCTCTTGGTTTTATTCATAAAAAGCAGGCACCTTTTAACAGGAATTTATCACCTTCACATTCATCGCAGGTACCGTTTTGAAATATTACCTATTTTTGTTTTTGTCCAGCCTTAAATCTGTACACATGATCCACAATGGGATTTTGTTGTAACCAAATAAAGGTTTATCACAACCAAAAGTAAATTGTGTGCTTGGTAGTTTTCTGTAAAGCGATTGTCCAGACCTGTTGTGACTGATAAACTTGTGATCTTTTGAAGGATGGGTAGAGAGAATTCACAATGATGTGCTTATCAAGTGTATGTCAACCTACAGAGGTTTGGCATCTTGCGCAGTGGGTGGACCGGTTTCCTGTGCGTCCACGTATCAGATTAGAAGAAGAGGCTCGTGGAAAGTGGTATATAGGCTATTTTAAAAAAGGAGCCACCCATCTGTGATTAAAAACTGCACCAGAGGAGGAAGGTCTGCGTCTGCTTTGTTGTGACATGCAAATGTTAAACTAGTGTTATTTGTCGCAAGTTCCAGTTTTCATATGGACGAGTCGCATTTCACCACAAGTTAAAACTATGTGACCAACATTAGTTTTGACAGCAGGACATATAGTCGAGTAACGGGGCCTACAATTTCCCACAGAAATGTCAAACCGTGAGCGAAACAAGAAGATTTTACTGGAACTGGTGAAGCAGCCGGAGAACAGGGAGTGCGCGGACTGTGGCGCGCCCGGTAAGCGACGCGTTGTTGCCAGGTCCGGTTCACTGGTCACCGCTGCACCAGCGTATATAGATATGGTTTCTGTTTTAAGTAGGTTGAATGTGCTTTATGTCTGGTTTTTACGTGAAATGTAATCATCTTTAGGGGCAACACCATAAAGATCTAATGACCAGTTCTGTTTCCTCTTCACTGGATTCAGTTTTAGTGATGGTCTAATAAGATACGTTGTCGTTTAATCAATCTCAAGTGATGTAACAAATAATGCTTAAGCTACTTTTTATTATACTGTAAAAGCATTCAAAATCCAGTTTTAAGAAAAAGTGCAGAAGTAACCATGTAAGCGATGTATTACACAATTATAACAGTATTAGACTAGATGGCTGTGGTGCATCTCTGAGGGGGAGTGAAGGAAGTCCACACAATTATATTCCTGTACTGGACTGTTTTTGTTTTGAATAAATGAACAATTTTATCTCTTTGGGTATTTGAATGAGATGGTGAGCGGGAAAAATCCACCTTTACTCAGACATTAGAAACATGCCATCCAGATTTGGCTTTTTGCTGTGGGAATCCTGATCCAAAGAAATGGGGAGTCTGTGAAATTTCTAAAAATGAATAGTAAATAGAGTAACATAAAAAGGAATCAAGTAAAGCACACAACATTGCTCCCCACTGTCAGTCTGAGATTCAAGTGATTGTTTTTTCAAAGTGTTTTGACACTGATCAGCAAGGTTACCTCTGAATCTGTCAGTGAGTCTCTTCCCTTCTGCACCCTTCAGATCCAGACTGGGCATCCTACAGGCTGGGTGTGTTTGTGTGTCTGCACTGCTCTGGCTTCCATCGCAGCCTGTCCAGCCGGGTCAAATCCATAAAGCTGGACTTCTGGGAGGATGACCTGGTGCAGGTAAGGACAGCAGTATCATGTCCCCACCTCTGTTAACATGATCTGGCCATGTGTAACCTTCACATGTGTCTTTTTGGAACCTGTGAAGTTCATGAAATCCAATGGCAACGCCAGAGCCAGAGCTTTGTATGAGAAAGCTGTTCCAGTGTATTACTATCGGCCCCAGAAAGAGGACTATGAGTGAGTATTTTTCCAGGATGTTGACTTTCTTTATAAAACTGTCAGTGCGATCTTTCAATATCTCTGAGGGAAATGAAATTATGGGTCTTTTTTGGTTATGTGTGCCAACATTTATGCCCAGTCTCAGACTGCTGACAGAGCAAAAACAGAGAGAAGTGCAACTACTGACTGTAGAAGTGAAAGATGGATCAAAGCTCAGTGAATGGTGAAGTGGCAGCTCGCTATAGAACTGTTTTCATCATAAAAGAATTTTTTGTTTGTCCTTGGACTGTAGCGTCCTGAGAGAACAGTGGATTCGGGCTAAATATGAGAGGATGGAATTCACAGGAGAAACCAAGTATCCACCACTTTCATATACCACAGGTGGGGTTTTCACTTTTTCCCAATACATATACTGTAGAACACACAGTAGTCTGTTGGTATGTGGTTCCTCATGCACAAACAGAAGTATTCAAGAAAAACCTGTTCTTTGCATAATGTGAGAACAAGGAATTAAACATTGTCACTCTTTGTACAGTGCTTGGCCACAAGGCCTGTGTATATTGAAACACATGTGACTCAGTAGATCTCTTGGATTGATGACAGGCTTCTATGAAGGGATGCTGTGGAAGAAAGGAAAAGAGAGCTTGCAGTTTTTGAAGAGGAAGTTTGTACTGTCAGAAAGAGAGTTTACCCTGAGTTATTACAACAAGGATGATGTGAGTTGCCTGCAGCTCTGACACGGTTGTACAGCAATGTTTGACACAAAATAACAAGTTTATTTTTTTAAATAATTTAATACTCTATAATAACATTGTTTAAGTGTGTGATGTAAATGCATACATGTTCATTTGATTTGGTCTCTAACCTACAGCAGTTTTAACTACAGTGTTTTGACTTTATTTTCTCATTAAAACACAAGTTATAGTGTTAGTTCATTGCTGCGCTAAGACAAAAAAGTGAGAAAAGCAGCTGAAGGTCTACAGCCATGCTAACTGCTCTGTGGGGCACAGTGGTGCTGCTAACATAGTCACTAACATGCTAACATGTTGAAGTTTGGCAGGTGTACCTTTTGCCATGTTCTCCATCTTAGTTTAGCACATTAGCATGACAATATTTATGAAACCGCTGCTCAAAGGCTCCACAAAGTATCTTGGTCTGTACCTAATTTTATGACAATCCATCCAAAAGCTGCAGAGACATTTCTTTAACAAATAAACAAAAATTAACCCCCTGATGGTGCTGAGTTAAAGTCAGGATGTCATTAGCATTCATCCTCTGGGGACTGTGAACATCTGCACCAAACTGAACGGCCAGCAGCAGTTGTTAAGATTGAGTTTGGGCCAAAGTGGTAAAACCAGAAAACTGGCAAAATGTAGTACTCTGATTGTTTACTTCAGTAGATTACTTTAGTAAAAGTGCAAAAATGTTTGCATCAAAGTATACTTGAAGTACCAACAGTAAAAGTACAGATGCATTATTATGTACATTATTTTATTGTGTTATATTATGTAGATGGAACTAATTTGAACTACCCTATACGCTTTTTGATTCTTTTGTATTTAATAATTATAATTTAAAGAACTTTACTGATGAAATCTTGGTGACTTTCCACCCAGGATCAACAAACTCTTATGATTATATTGTATACTGTTTTATAAACTTGATTCTGAAAAGTAACTAGGAAATTCATTTCTCAAAATAAATGTAGTAAAGTAAAAGTACAGTATTTGTCTCTGAAATTTAGTGAAGTCAAAGTATGAAGTAGCAGAAAATGTAAATACTCAAGTAAAGTTATAATACCTGAAAGCTGTACATGTGTACAAACAGCATCATGCCAATTAAATCCAATTGGTGTTTCCTTTCCCCCAACTCTGACGTGCACATCTGTATATATGTGATCTAGGAGTCCAAAGGCCCCAAGGCTGTAATCTCCATCAAGGACCTGAACGCCACCTTTCAACCAGAGAAGATCGGCCACCCTCATGGACTGCAGCTGACCTACCAACAGGACAATCACACTAGGAACCTCTATGTTTTTCACAATAACGCTGAGGTGATACCGCACAACTATTCAGAGTATAAATAACAGTAACCAGCTGGTTTTATACTGATTATGATACAGAAGCATTTGTGGTTTCTTCTTGTACTCTAGGAAATAGTCACATGGTACAATGCAATTCGTGCTGCTCGTTATGTATACCTGAAGACAGCATACCCGACTGGAAGTGATGAAGAAGTAAGCGTCAGACCTTTACAAAAGCAAATCAACCGTCATCGTTCACTTTAAATGCACTGTCAATGCTTGAAAAAAAGCAGGTTATTTACAGCTAGTGCACTGGTTTTTTAATTTCAGCAGAGTTGGCAGCAGTAAGAACAGAAGCTTGCTTGTTTTTGCTTTGATGGGTTAAGACTTAACATGCTTGTACATTAATTAATTTTTGTCAGCTGATACCAAAGATAACAAGAAACTACCTCAAAGAGGGATACATGGAAAAGACGGGTCCATTGGTAAGTTATTAAATAACAAACATGCACTTAAAGTTAATGTTATCACAAGAAAATAATTTCTACATTTAACATTTACTTATTGTTTATTCGTTACATGTACTGTATCTGCTGTACTCAGCTGCTACTTGACCTATGCATACATTGAGGCTACAGTTTTTGTGTATATGACAGTAGTGTGCCAGTGTGTTTCTGTTCCTCTTACGTACACAGACACACATTTGAATGACATATTTTGTGAAAAATGATTTGCATGATAGAAGGAGTTGGGGAAGTACTATTTAAATGTATACTATTAAATGTGCTTTTAACAGCAAAAGGAGCCATTCAGAAGGAGGTGGTTTATTTTGGACTCTCAAAACAGGAAGCTGTTATACTTCAAAGACCAGCTGGTGAGAGCAAAACCTCTTCTCATTCAGTGCTGCCTACTGTTGTTATGATATTTGTTAAACCACTTTAACCACCTTTACGTTTGAATGTAGGATGCAGAGGAGTTAGGGGTCATTTTCATCGGCACAGAGCGCAACGGCTATTCTGTGAGGGAGTGCGTCCCAAAGTATGCTCGGGGAAACAAATGGAAGTTCGGCATTATGGTGGAGACGCCGGAGCGGCAGTTTGTCTTCATGTGTGAGCAGGAGAGGGAGCGGAATGAGTGGCTGGGCACACTCAAACAAGTCCTGTCCAGGCCCATGGCACCGCAGGATTATACCAGTAAGCAAGGCCAGAAAATACTGCAGACACGTCAACACAGGCACATATTAGCAGTTCCTGACAGGTGAAGCCTCTGAATTCTAAACTGCTGAAGAGCTACAAAAAGCTTTATCCTGATGCAGGCCAAGCAGATGTTTTTAATACATTAAATATCTGACAAACTGAATGACCTAATCCTGTGAACTCATACTAAGTATTGCTCTTCCTGTTTCTGATGATGTTTGATGGTGTCTGAGGAAAAATGAAAAGCATCCTGTGTAATTTGAATTTGTTACTCAGCAGGTTTGACCTGATGGCAGTGTGCAAACATGCTCACAATGATAATGCTAACATTACGATTTTAGACATAATGTTTACCATATCAGTTTAACGTGTTATCATGGTAACATTTGCTAATTAGCAAGTACAAATGAGGCAGATGGGAATGTCATTAAATTTGCAAAGTACTATCATAAACAAATAGATATTCTGACTGGCAGAGGGTGCTAGACAAATAGAAAAGAAGTCACCCATTACAATATTAGATTATTACAATTCATCCTGAGTAAGATATGAATGTCTTTGCCAAATTTAAACCATTAACCATTTGAGTTGTTTTGAGATTCCCCTTAAAACCGCAAAGGTCGGACAAACAGTGTACAAAATATTGCGCCCCTTGGTCTAAGATGTTGAGATGTTTCCCTGGATAAGTCTGATAACTTTTGAGATGCTAGCTACACTAAGTGGACATCAAAGATCAGCATAGTCTTCATCCTGAAGAAGACATGAACATCTGTACTAAATGTTGTAATTTTACTAAAGACCAAAACTGTCAAACTGAGCTAGTGGGAAAGTCGATGTAGCACCAAAGTTTAAAGGATTCATCCAATGTGGTCCACGATTGTCAGCACAAAATTTTATGACAATCTATCCTATAGTTGTTGAAGTATTTCAGTGTGGACCAAAGTGGTAGCTGTTGCTGTGTGCCTGATAATAAAGGAGGGTTACTGAGTTATCTGGGTTCAGTGTCCCAGGTTTTACTCTTCATAAACAGTCTAGATAATATACCATTAACCCGCTACATACACACAGAATTGTCAGACTCAACCAAAGCTTTGTGCATCTGCATGACACTAATACTAGCTTCTTTTTCCAGCTGAAGCCAATATCAGGCATAAACGGTGAGAGGTGTGATGGTGGTGAGATGACTGCTGGTTTGAAAACACAAAGCATTGAAGAACTACAGCACAACAGGTGAACCAACAACCCGTTGGCAATGCACTATATCAGCACTGACTGTTCACCAGGTTGCTCCCAGTACTGACTCTCATCTCTGTGCTGTGGTGCTTGTTCAAAGGGGATTTGTTGGGTTTTCCCTCTATAATAATAATAGTACTTTGTAAAGTGTCATGAGATGACCTTTATTGTGATTTGGCACTATACAAAGTATTGAATTGAACTGAATTGTAAAGCATCTTGAACCATGACTGTCTGTGCTACAATGTGGAGTTAAGACTCACTTCAACTCACACTGAATCTGAAACTCAGGATCATTATGTAAATTCAACACATATGAACAAACATACACCTCTGTTACTAAATAAACACTGTTAGTAACAGGAGATACTGTAGGTTTGCAATCACTGTATATCATCATGCTATTTTTTTTTACCTTCTCTTATTTTTTTATATATATTTTATATTTCTTTGCATTTTTCATTTTGTAATGAACATGATCTTGACAGTATGCAAAAAAAAAATAAATTACTTATCTTTAAATAACACCAAATCTTTCTATGCCATATTCATATAAACATCTGACTTTTTCTCACTAACCCTGCAGGACAGTTCTGCCTACCACCCCTTTGTTTTCTTGGCTGTCATTTCTCACCACACAACTGGTCCCCATCATTCAGTGCTACCTTCTGTTTCCTTCTTAGAGGCAAGGATACCAAGATCCTCTGATCTTTGGTTACTAGCATGTCACTGGGTTTCACTTGACTGATCTGACCGACTTCTTAAAATGTAGGCTACTGATCAGTGGGGGTTTCCTGGCTCCTGTGCTCTTCACATGCTTCTGAACACCTTTTTTTCTGGTGTTTTGTTTTAAGACCCTTATTCGAAGTCACCTTTTGCCAGCACAAGGGCCTTCCTTTAGACACTCTGGTTTCCACTGATGGTCAATGCCCAAGACTCCTGATTGTGAGTCATATTCCAGCTCTACTCTGCCGACTCTTGGACGAGAGAGCCTAAACCATGTTACACAGGCTCAGGGGAGCATTTCCAAAACCTAAGATTTTATTTTGTAGTTTTGATCTAAAATTGTATGTTTGTAAGGCAATCATTTCCTTTTCCTTATATCTATATATAGCTCTCTCTTTCTCTATAAGGAACTGCGTGCACGCCTCTCAATAAACTTTTAATAAGACATTAAGAAGAATTTTATATTTAATCATAAGCAAAACAAAAAGCATTTAACTTTAAATAAAATAAGATCTAATTAAAAAGTCATATTTTAAAATGCCTGACATTCATGGTGACAGGATTGACACCAGGTAACACTTTTAATATTACAATGGAGTAAGGAAGCAAATGCGGCTCCTTTGTTTGGCGCCAGACGGCAGCATATCGCCTTTTAAAGGTTTGTCCCTCATGGTTTGCCGTACTTGCCGGGCTCTGGAGGTCGGGCACGCTCTTGAAACATTGCACTGCGAAATGCTGGTCAAGCGCCTTAAAGAGTGTGATTAAAAGGAAATTACAGAGACGTGTGCCACAGATTGTTTTTGAATGACATTTGCGCTAAACCGATAAAGTTGCAAGTTGAGAAAAACCGCAAAGAAAGCGCGAAGGAGAACAGAAAACGTTCCGTCCGTTTTGTCCTACAAAGGCGCCGGGAATTTGACAGCGGCAGGAGCTGAGAGCGGAGGCCTGACGTTAGGGGTAACTGCAGGAGGAGGACGGAGGACTACATGAAACAGTAAAGACTGTCGTTTCTGAGGAGGAAGTCAAGCTCAAACATGAGAAAGGACGTGAGGATCCTGCTTGTCGGGGAACGTAAGTAGGGGGCGTCTGTAATCCAGAGGCTGCTTTACTGCATTAGTTAGCTAACATGCTAGTGAGAGAGCTAACGCTTGCAGATTCCCTCAGTGGATCCCGCAGTAGTAGCTCGTTGTGGAGTTTAGGTTAGTTTATTCTCACAGTGTGTGAGAATCATACAGTGAGTGTAAATTATCCGAATTTGATTAGAATAAATATTCTGTTTCTCTCTGGTGCTTATAGCCAGTTAGGTACCACATTGTAGCCCACATCACAACGTTGACTATCTATGAACATACTAACGTCGCCACGTCTTGATATTTAATGTACTGCTTCTAACCAGCTACCAAACGCAATCCGAGGACCATGCTGGTTACTACAAATCGTAGTTTACCTAGTACAGTGTAACAGCTCCCCCATGTGTAAATGGCAAAGTTCACAAAAATAAGTATGATGAGCATAATGGTGGAATTTGTTGCAGGGCTGTTGTATAAAATTGTATTAGTTTGTACAAGAATATTTAATGTGGCAGATATCAAGAGGCTAGAGAAAAAAGATGGCAATGTCACTTTTCTTCTGCAGTAGAAAATATATTAATGGAATGCTGTAAAAAGGCAGGAATTATTTTTCACAATAAATAAATCTGTTGACTGTTAAGAAAAAAAAATCTGAAAAAAGTCAAACAAACAAAAAGCCCAAGGTGATATTTTAAATCACATAAGATGACTAATGCTGAAAATCTCCAAAATTGAGAAGCTCCGATCTCCATGTAGACTGGAGAAGCCAGGAATCGAACCGCCAACCTTCCGGTCAAGTTATGACCCGCTACACCTTTTAATCCATGGCCGTCCCAGCCCAAAACACAAAGATACCTAGTTTATAATAGAAAGCAGCAGAAACCAGAAAACGTTGGCAGATTTTATGAGGTGGAAACAGCACAGTGCAAAGTGGATTGGGCAGCAGTCGAAGGCAGGGGCCCTGACGACCCGATCTCTGGACACAGAGACTAGCCCTGGGGACATGGAATGTCACCTCGCTGATGGGGAAGGAGCCCGAGCTTGTGCGGGAGGTTGAGAGGTACCGGCTAGATATAGTCGGGCTCACCTCCACGCACAGCTTGGGCTCTGGAACTTTACTCCTCGAGAGAGGCTGGACTCTCTACTACTCTGGAGTTGCCCGCGGTGAGAGGCGGCGGGCTGGTGTGGGCTTGCTCATAGCTCCCCAGCTTAGCCGCCATGTGTTGGAGTTTACCCCGGTGAACAAG